ATACTCCGTGTTGTAATGAATTCGACGCTTTGCCTGCAGCGGGTAGACTGCTAAGAATAACTGTGGCGTGTACCGGCTGTCAAGCGTCTGCCCTCGCCCACCCGCTGTGCGCTTAGGCACTTCTCTCCTTCTCACTAATCATGATGCAGGCAGCTCGGCTCTGCCACTCTGCCCATAGTGCTAACAGGTCCATCTGTCGTCTTAGAGATGCCACTTTGAACGCTGCAGGATAGCCTTGTAGCTGACGTGCTGCGCGTACGTTCAGCCACGCCTTCCCCGCCTTCAGCCTGATGCGACGCCCTTACCACACCGAGAGTGCAACAACAGGCGCTCCCTCTGGATCCTATATTGCTGCAGCTTGCATCCTGCTACAGACCTGCCCACCTTGGTACTGTGCTGGCTCTTTGCCCTCCCTTCTGTAAGCTATACTAGAAAAGGTGTAGGAGAGTCGATTGCTGCACTCCTATTAGGCTGCCGCATTCAGCCTTGTCTTGTTTCTGTTGCGCGCTTACCACACACCTACACGAGTCGATGCGGCTTCTAAAGTACGAAGACGATGGCTGCCTTACCTTCGCCAGCTTCGACGATAACGCGATACCCCCCTACGCCATACTTTCGCACACGTGGGGAGCGGACACAGAGGAGGTGACCTTCACGGACCTTACGAAGAGTAGTGGCAAGGACAAGCCTGGCTATAAGAAGATCCGTTTCTGCGGAGAACAAGCTTCAAGAGATGGGCTGGAATACTTCTGGGTTGATACCTGCTGCATCAACAAAGAAAACCAAGCTGAGCTCTCGCTGGCCATTGACTCCATGTTCCGCTGGTACCGCGATTCGGCTCGATGTTATGTTTATCTGTCGGATGTCTCGAGCCAAACTTCGAACACCAACCTAGAGCGCAGCGTGCATCGATCCGATCTGCAGATAAGCCGATGGTTTACTTGGATCTGGATATTCCTAGTCGTTCAACCTATACTCCGCTGGCATCCTAGCACGATTCGGCGCTTCTTCACCTTGTCAGATGTTTGTAGCCCGCAAGCTTATGAATCTAAGCCTCAGCGAAGCAGATGGTTCACCCGAGGCTGGACGCTCCAGGAGCTTCTCGCACCCAGCGTGGTCGAGTTCTTCTCGCGCGAATGGTGCAGACTCGGTGATAAGATATCGCTAAAGTCCGAAATCCACGAAGTTACAGCGATCCCATACGAAGCGCTCGAGGGGGCACCCCTTTCTCAATTTAGCGTCGAAGAGCGGCTTCGATGGAGACAGAACCGGCACACAAAGCTTAAAGAGGACGCAGCGTACTCATTGTCTGGCATCTTCGGTGTAGACATTGCGCCTGTATATGGCGAAGGCGGAGAGGAAGCGTTCAGACGGCTTCACGACAAGATCCGTGAGCAAGGAGAGTGCCGTCGGAAGCGGGAAGAGTGTCTTCGGGACTTATATGCTACCGACCCTCGCAAGGATAAGAAGCGTATCGAGGAGACCAAAGGCGGACTGCTAGCAGACTCGTACCGCTGGGTCCTCGACAACACTACATTCCAACAATGGCAGCAGGACACGCACAGCCGACTACTATGGATAAAAGGTGATCCTGGTAAAGGCAAGACGATGCTGGTGTGCGGCATTATCAACGAACTACAGAAGGCAACAAAAAACGCTACGGTCTCACACTTCTTCTGCCAAGCAACCGACGCGCGCATTAACGGCGCCACGGCCGTGCTGCGAGGGCTGTTGTACATGCTTGTAACTCAGCAACCATCGCTTGCATCACACATCCGCACGAAGCACGACCACGCCGGCAAAGCCATGTTCGAAGACGCAAATGCCTGGGTAGTCTTGGTAGAGGTCTTCGAGGCTGTGCTCCAAGATCCAAGCCTAAGGATGACATACCTAATCATTGACGCGCTAGATGAGTGCATCACTGATCTACCCATGCTGCTAGAGTTTGTCGCAAAGCAGTCATCGGTATCTTCTCATGTCAAATGGATTGTTTCTAGTCGCAACTGGCCAGACATCGAAGCGCAGCTAGAGCGGGCAGGGCACAAAGAAAAACTAAGCCTCGAGCTGAACGCAGAGTCAGTTGCGGCTGCAGTTGCTGTCTTTATTCAGCAAAAGGTAGATCAGCTGGCGCAAGAGAAACAGTATAAGGCTGAGGTTCAAGACGCTGTGCTCCAGCACTTAACGACGAACGCGAACGGCACCTTCCTTTGGGTTGCGTTGGTGTGCCAAGAACTCAAGAGAACGGCGAATCGACATGTGCTGAAGAAGCTAGCCGTGTTCCCGCCTGGGCTAGACGACTTGTATAAGCGGATGATGCAGCAGATGAGCGAGTCGGACGACGCCGACATCTGTCGGTGCGTACTAGCTTCGACCGCGGTTTTGTATCGACCCGTGACCATTTGTGAACTAGTCGAACTCGTCGAGCAGCTTAAGGATGTCAGCAGTGACGTGCGAGAAATCATCGACCTTTGTGGATCGTTCCTGACCGTCCGCGAAGACACTGTGTACTTTGTGCATCAATCTGCTAAGGACTTCCTCTTCGAAAAGGCGTCTCACGAGGTCTTTCCAAACGGTGCGGAAGACGTCCATCGGGGTGTCTTTTTGACATCGCTGGCGTATTTGTCTACGACGTTGCATAGAGACATGTACAGCTTACACTCGCTAGGAAGCGCTATTGAGAACGTTAAACCACCGCATGCAGACCCTTTAGCAGCATCGCGCTACCCGTGCGTCTACTAGATCGATCATCTGCACGACTCTAAGCCTGAATCTTGGGCAAACAGTGTTGCTGGCCTCCCTATGAGAGCCGTGTACAGCTTTCTGAAGGAGAAGTATCTTTACTGGCTAGAAGCGCTTAGTCTGTGTCACAGCGTAGGGAAGGGTGTCGTCTCTATAGAAAAACTATGGTCACTTGTGCAGGTGTGTCGCACGACATTCACATACCTTTAATTTAACCTTGATGCTAACACTAGCAGGGGATGTGTGACCAAGATAGACTTGCTAAGCTTGTTCAAGACGCACGGCGGTTTATTATGTACCACAAAGGCGCAATCGAGGGCTACCCTCTTCAGACCTATGCATCCGCACTGCTGTTCAGCCCGACAGGTAGTCTCGTCAGACAGCTGTTCAAGCACGAAGAGCCAGAAGCAATTAGCATCAGGCCAACTCTAAGCGAGGAATGGAGCGCGTGTCTGCAGACGCTCGAGGGCCATAGCAGTACAGTCACCTCGGTGGTCTTCTCGCACGACTCGACCCGGCTGGCCTCGGCGTCCTGGGACAACACCATCAAGATATGGGATGCGAGCACCGGCGCGTGTCTGCAGACGCTCGAGGGCCATAGCCGTGAAGTCACCTTGGTGGCCTTCTCGCACGACTCGACGCGGCTGGCGTCGGCGTCCCACGACAGCACCGTCAAGATGTGGGATGCGAGCAGCGGCGCGTGTCTGCAGACGCTCGAGGGCCATAGCAATAGTGTCAGCTCGGTGGCCTTCTCGCACGACTCGACGCGGCTGGCGTCGGCGTCCCACGACAGCACCGTCAAGATGTGGGATGCGAGCACCGGCGCGTGTCTGCAGACGCTCGAGGGCCATAGCGATTGGGTCAGCTCGGTGGCCTTCTCGCACGACTCGACCCGGCTGGCGTCGGCGTCCCACGACAAGACCGTCAAGATGTGGGATGCGAGCACCGGCGCGTGTCTGCAGACGCTCGAGGGTCATAGCAGTGCTGTCAGCTCGGTGGCCTTCTCGCACGACTCGACGCGGCTGGCGTCGGCGTCCCACGACAGGACCGTCAAGGTGTGGGATGCGAGCAGTGGCGCGTGTCTGCACACGCTCGACGTCGGCAAAGTTCTCTTCCATCTATCGTTCGATCGCAACAGTTCTCGCCTCCTTACTGGAATCGGGTCTATCGATACTCAGAGCTTAGAGACATTTAGCATAACAGATCTTAAAGAACCTGCGCGTCCCTTGTACGTAGGCACTGGCGTTAGCTCAGACAGGATATGGATTCAGCATGCTGGTAATAACATGCTATGGGTGCCGTCAGAGTATCGACCATCGCACTCGTCTGTGAGTGGGACTATGGTTGGCGTAGGTGTCGGGTCTGGAAGAGTATGGATCTGTAGTATAGACCTTTAGGTCGGTTGTATGTGTTTGTCACATAGATGCAAAGACCTAGTCTTCTTTCCTTCATCTCTTTCTTTCTAATACTCTCTACAATAGAGAGGGACGGGGATGCACATGAATATACAGTCTTTGTATTAGCGCCGAGAAGCTTCTAGAGCTGCTACAGAGGGCAGCTGTTGTTACGTTACGTTACTTGATAAATCTAGGATAGTTCTTGCTGTTTCTTAGCTTCTTCTACTAGAGAGAAGTTACGACTAACTATAACATAGATAGGTAACAGGGCGTTACAGTAGAGCATGCTGACTTGCACGCTTCTAGAAGCTGCTAGCACGCGCCACAGCTATTTCTAGCAGCGAAGTGCTATAGGAATAGCGCCGAATTTGTTACGATAGCATACGGCGATATCTGAGCACGCTACTGCAAGCTACTGCATGCCAAGTAACGCTAACAGCGCACGTCCTGAGGGTTGCGTTTTGACGATCTTGCCGTCTGCGCGGAGAAACTGCCGGGATGTGCCTATATTACCCTAAGTCAACCTTCTTAGACTGCAGTCTTAATCTTTGCTATCTTAGCTTCTTTTCAAGCCCACCGAGATCTTTGCAGATATGTACTGTCGCGAACGAACAGGGGAGTGTCGGAGGAGAGTCGGGGACAACGTTGACAGAATCAGCGACAGCACAGTTCACCACGCGCTTTTCGGCGTCGGAGACTAATGTGTTAGGAGAACAAGAGCTGCAGAATGGATGCGCATAGCGCTTGTTTACATACAAGTGCGCTGCGAGCAACCCGAAGGCCCGGAAGGGAATGTGTCCCGTTACACCATGCGTCCCGGCACGCTTGGATTGACATTAAGTATTTAGAACGCTGAAAGTGTTGGGTTCACGAATCGGATTTCTGGATTTTCGAGCTGGGGAACAATCTGGCCCCGCATCTTGCCTTGTCGCTTACGGATCTAGTCGGATGATGGGTGTTCGTTGAGAGCTAGGTGCGGCATCGATTGGGCCCCCTTCAACTTACACGCACCATGTCATGACGGTCGTAGGAGGTGTCAATGTAAAGGTTGTAGCGTTATCTCCTTGAAATAGTTCTATAACAAAAGGTCTGATCCATATTCCTTGGACATCTAGTAGACTAGCCCTAAGTGTTGGAACCCCACACTCGAGTGAGCTAGCTAAGCCATAACTTTGGCATTTTTACACCAGTCGTTTCGAGAGGCCGCATACCGGTGCAATGGTAGTCGGATATACATAAGCAGGGGCTATCCCAGCACGACAGGACTCGGATAGCCATTCAAGTTCTCGAGAAGCTAAGGCCAGTCTTTCAATTCGCAGTACAGCGTGTTGGCCGCACGGAGCCTATCATTTCTTCATCCTCGACAGTCACAACAGCCACGCTTCACCAAATTTTGACCAGCACCGCGCCCAGAGTATCCCTCTACATGCTAACAACAACACAGTCCTGAGTTCATCTGTGACATATATCACCGTGTAGAAACAACAACAGGTCGTGGTGTTTCGATTTTTGATTTGGCTTCGTTGTCGCAGCCTGGCTAGTTATCTCAGGGCCGCGCGGCCTCTTGGCTCCCGAAACCTCATTGTGTGAGCCGCCAACAGGATTACTGTAGTCTTTTACGTCTGTGATTTATGCAATAACGACATGTGATGGCATGAACAATCTTGCAACACGCGAACACAACCTCGGTAGTCTCTCTTCTAGGTGGTTTGAGCGGCTGAAATTGTCATTCATCGGTACCTGGGCGACACACGATTCCCTGGCGCAAGACTCTAGAGCCAGTGCGTCACCAGTTCTGTCGACATTGCCTAATACTCAAATTAGTTATTTTATGAAACATCAAGACAACAACTGCGACACTATATTCAACCCTGGTATCGATGTTCTTGCCAGATCTGCCTGCAGAGCTCTTAGCTGAGGTCAAAACAAACCTGAGTTATGGATCACGCGTTGCGCTCCGATTTACCTGTCGTGCACTGTACCGCAAAGTCGACGATCCCAACCGACACACGAATGGTGCGTGTTCTGACGCCTCGACCCGCGTTGGTTCGACAGTCCGAAACTACAACATGAGAGATCTCCTTGAGATTGAGATGTGGCCTGAGTACAACTCAGCTTACTAAGGTCCCTCCCTGAGTGCTGGGACACCCGCCGTGCTGGGACAAATGAGAGGTACTTTGACTTTCAGAACTTCGCTTCCAGCGCGCACGCTGAGAAACGCTGGAGAACTGTGATATATATGCGTTATAGCTATCTATCAACATATTCTGACACGTCTAACTAAAAATTACATTGTTATCGCTGCCTTTTTTGCATTAGTTACGGTAGACCTTTGTTCCGTGCATGACAGCATCGCTTTACTACAATGCCATACAGAAGCTTGTAGCGTCTAGAAAACTCTCAAAGATTGCGATTATGTCCTAGAGATCTTGCGATAGCGCGGTGAGCCATGTTCAGCCTCGTAGCGCCTGCAACGCCCATGTTCATGGAAGATCGTAGTCGTAATCAGTACCTCGGCTCGCGCTAAGCGACTCTGCACGTCTTATGTAATCGTCTTCGCGTAATCTACTTCTAGCGGCTGTGATGGCTGTGGCTTAGCTCTAGCGGGCGACCCGAGCGTATAAACTTTAGTGCGAATGCTGTTATGGAGGGAGAGTAATTACAACAAGGCTAATTTCTTATTATAACTATGTCTGTACTATGCTATAAAGCCTACGCTATGCTTGTGACAAAGCGAGTCTATGAACTCACGACGCTAGAAAATTTTAAGCAGAACTACACGTCCAGATATAAGCCCTAGACAAACTATGTCCTCGTGTACTGCGGTGGTTTCTGATCGATATTCTGATGGGAGCCACAGGAAGCGTTGCCGGTTGCGCAATATCCACTGATCCTGCACTACAATGTGTAAAGACTGCTGCTGCGGCCTAGGAAGCGATGTGACAATTGAGGTTTGAGGCAAAGAGAAATCCCCTTCGTTTGTGTAAAGCACCTGGCCATCTGGCGAGAAATCCATACGCACAGGGAACTCAAAATGGTTGTCTAGGGTATGGCAGCATACCCCTGTCTCCAACTCCCACAGCCGTATTGTCTCGTCGTCAGACGCTGACGCGACTAGCTGCCCATTTGGTGAGAAGGCCACCGCCCTGACCCCGGAGGAATGGCCCTCCAGCGTGCTGCGACACGTCCTTACCGGCACATTCCACAGTCGCACTGTATTGTCGGTGGATGCTGATGCGACTAGCTGCCCATCTGGCGAGAAGACTACCGTCTCAATAAAACTAGAGTGGCCCTCTAGAGTGCTGCGACACGTCCCTGTCGACGCCTCCCACAACCGTACTGTCTTGTCGTAAGATGCCGATGCGACCAGCTGCCCGTCTGGTGAGAAGGTCACCGCCGTGATTGTATTTGAATGGCCCTCCAGCGTGCTGCAACACGTCCCTGTCGCCGCCTTCCACAACCGTACTATGTAGTCATCAGATACTGACGCGACCAGTTGCCCATCGGGCGAGAATGCCACATCCCTAGGATAATCACAATAGCGCACTATCATGTCCTGACACGTTTCTATCCTTGTTTCCCACAGCTGTACTGTCTCGTCGTTAGTTGTCCCCGCTTTCCACAGTCGCACAGTCTTGTCCATGGATGCTGATGCAACCAGCTGTCCGTCTGGCGAGAAGGCCACCGCGCTGACCCAGTCGGAATGACTCTCCAGCGTGCTGTGACACATCCCCATCGCCGCCTCCCACAGCCGTACCGTCTTGTCGCGAGATGCTGACGCGACTAGATGCCCATCGGGCGAGAAGGCCACCGCGCCGACCCAGTCGGAATGGCCCTCCAGCGTGCTGCGACACGTTCCTGTCGCCGCCTCCCACAGCCGCACTGTGTTGTCGTTAGATGCTGACGCAACTAGCTGCCCATCTAGCGAGAATGCTACCGCATTAACCACATTGGAATGGCCCTTAAGCGTGCTGCGACACGTCCCTGTCGACGCCTCCCACAACCGTACTGTCTTGTCGTAAGATGCCGATGCGACCAGCTGCCCGTCTGGTGAGAAGGTCACCGCCGTGATTGTATTTGAATGGCCCTCCAGCGTGCCGCGACACGTCCCTGCCAGCACATCCCACAGCCGTACTGTATTGTCGTCAGACGCTGACGCGACTAGCTGCCCATTTGGTGAGAAGGCCACCGCCCTGACCCCGGAGGAATGGCCCTCCAGCGTGCTACGACAGGCGTCCCAGTCTGCTTCCTTCATAGATAGCATCTTAACCCGCTGTGGTACTTGGCCTACAAAAGTCCGTCGTATCAGGCTCCTCTCGGGTGCGAACACAAGTGCTGAGCAATATATCTGCAATGGAGCATCTGCAAGCACAAATTGAAACCGCAGCACAAACCGCTTAGCGTCGTGAAGAAAGGTTAACACAAATTTTGTAGTTAGCTGCGATACACGTTAGCAGAGCATTAGGTTATTCTATAAAAGTCTTACTTACATCTGCAATTGCCTGAAGGCTGTCGAGTAAGTCGACGCATCTGCTCGACTCTCCCATGAGACTCATGGCTTCGAGCCAATGTAGAAAATGCTTCTGAAGAAAGACATGCGTCGTGTCTCCGTCCACGATATGTTGCTGACTCTGCTTGAGATGATCGACCCAGTACCGACATGCATATTGTAGATCAGGTGACAGACTGCTAGCAACTGTCTGCTCATCGATCTTGCTTCTTAGCACTCCAGGGCCTGAGAGGCCGCACATGTCTAGATGAAGACCGCTGGATCCAGACATAAGCTCAAGGCAGCGAGAGGCGAGCTTCTGGTGTGTACTTTTGTCGTCTACCCAGAACGGACTCTTTCCTTGTTTTTGAGGGTTAACGAGGAACTCACGAAAAGACAAGTGCAAAAGTCGAATAGGCCCGTTCTCGCTGTTAGGAACGCTAAGAACAGAGTGCAAAGAGTCAAGTCGACACTTAACCTCCTCTTGTGGAACTTGAAGTAAACGGGCAAGTGAGACAGCAGAGAGCGGGCTTTCAAGCACAATAACACTGCCGACAACTTCTCGGAAAGCCTGAAGCCACGCCTCCTTCTCGTCTTCCTCCTGCTCACTAAGCAGCTGGTCGAGCACAGGGAGGTACGTCCGATCTAGCTGCGAAAAGGTGGCCTTTTGATACTGCAGGACCTTGGTCAGAAACGCTGTGGGATTGCTTCCTTTGCTGCCAACATACCGACACACAGTGGCAGCGTAGATGAACAGCGGCACAGCCAGCTCAACTAGCGTCAGAATCTGCTGTTGCGCTGGCCAGTCGGAGGCTAACATGCGTTCTTTTCGTATCACACCAAGCTCATGCTCCAGGAACAGACGGATGTCATGTTCAATTGTAGTCCTTGGCACTTCGTGGAGGACGAGGTCTTGGTATGTGCCGTTTGACATCTCCCTGAAGCCCAGGCGGATGTGGAGCTCTGGCCGGCTTGTCACCACAATCCGCAGCGGCACTGGACGAACGTCTTTCGTCTGAGCGAGCAGCTGAAGAATCGCTCTGATGTCGGCTTCTCGCTCACACTCGTCCAGCGCGTCAATCACCACAACACGCGCCACGGCCTGCGATCGAGCCTGCTTTATTCCCAAAAGTGGCTGCAGGATCAGCTTCTCGAACTGGTCTTTCAGGGCCTTGTGTGAAATCGTTGAGTCCTCGTTGAGCGTCTTCGTGATACCAGGAAGCATGCCTGGCTCGCAGGCGACCAGATCAGTGGCGATGGTGGTAAAGAAGCGCGAGGCGTTGCCGCGCTCGCCCTCGCCTTTCTTGAAGAAGAAGCTGGCTCCGAGCTGCCCTCGACTAGCGAACGCCTGGGCGACTGTCCGCGCTATCGTAGACTTTCCCGTGCCCGCCATGCCGCTCAGCCAGAATATCGACTTGTCATCCTTGTTGTTCGCCCATGTTGTAATCTCGTCTAGCAGCTCGGTGCGGGTGTTCGGTAGGCATCGTGCGTTATGCTCTTCGTTGTGGGAGTTGAAGGAGGCGCCTGTCGCAACAGGCAGTTTAGCTAGATCCAGCTTCTGGTCTATGTTGAACACAACGACTCTGCATAGTCAGTGAGAGGCTGGATCTGCGTACGACAGATCTGGGTACAGAAGCTTACGTCTGATCAGCCTGCAGTGCCAAGCTGAATGTCTGCTCGTATCCTTCCAAGTTTAAAACGATCTTGTCCACCTGCTTACTCGTGAACGGCCACTTAAGCGCGCGGAAGCCGAACCGGCTCATAATCTTGCGAGTTTTTCCTGTATCTAACTTTGCTTCGAGGCTCTTCAGCTCCCTGAGGCATTGTTCGAGCGAGCTAAACAGGCCCTGAGTGGTAGAGAGCCGCGTCTTGTCCCGGCTGTCAAGGAGCTGCTTGATCTTCTCCAGGATGTGGGTGATGTCGCTGACCTTTCTTCGCACACGCTCGATATCATCCCTCGCGCCCATGACAGCCACCGAGTACTGGTAGCAGAGCGAGGCGATCTTGGCGGATATGTCGACTACCGCGATGACGCTTGCTGCGCCCGAAAGGCCGTCCATGATGCGAGGTCTGCGACAGAGAAGAAGCAGACTGATCGATCGCGCTTCGCGTCGTTGTGGGCTGGGCGAACAGCCAGGCGGCTGTCAGGCTGAAAGTAGTGCTGCGATCCATTGTCAGCTGCACAAGGCTGAGAGGGCTGGGACAGCTAAGCGCTGCTGCATTGCATGCGGCGCGGGGCCAGGAAGGCTTCGGAAGTACGTTTCGCCGAAGCCCGCTTGTCTATTCGTGGTGTGCGTGATTGTGAAATGAGCGGAACACCACGCGAACGTTATCCCATCCGATCGTGTGCAACGCGGTGCGATCGTTTAAGCATATTCGTTATTCGTCAGACAAGGTACAGTATCATGGCACCATTCCAGGCCGTGTTGTGTGCTTGCTGTTTTTAGAACGGGCTCTGCTCGTTCCTTTGTTGCTTGTCATTAGAGCGACAGGCTCGCTCTCGTTCTATAGAGGCTGCCCGTTGCTGCCCCTCTGCCAGGCTATCACCATATTCGCGATCATGGATCGAGCTAGTCAGGCACTGGCGGCAGCCTTCTCTGCAGACCAGCCTGGGACATACCGCTCTGTTGCAGAGAAGTGCAATGTTCCTCGCTCCACCCTCCATCGTCGTAAGCACGGAGGAACGTCAAAGGAAGTGAAAGCCCAACGCCAGCAATACCTTACCGTAGAGGAAGAGAGAGCGCTTGTTTCATTCTTGCTGCTAATGTCTAGCCTTGGACAACCCGTTCGGATCAAGTACATACCTACGCTAGCCTTCAGCATTGCCCGCCGGCGGTCCACGACGAATAAGAGGCGAGGTTGTGCACAGCCACAAGTCCCTCGGCCACATTTGATAAATTACATCAGAGATGATTGCGTAAGGTGTGCGGGGTCGCTTACCGCTAGCCGAAGTAGCGATCCGCGTTGCGACCCTGCATAGTTTTGGGCATCACAGCAGGCACGGGGCTGATCATGGCTTCCCATGCTAACAGGGGGTTCTTAGGGCTAGATACTAACCTTCTGTACGTGTAGCGGGTCGTCAAAGCTCCTAAGTAGTGCGATAGCAGAGCGCCGTTGTTATGCACGCAATAAAGGTTGTTTGTAACATTCACAAAAAAGGCAACAATAGCAACGTAATTTTTAGTTAGAAGGACTAGGATACGCTCCCGAACAGCTCTAGTACATCGCTGATACAGCCTTACAATAATTATTAGGGTGTGTGAAGAAAACGAAGTGCTGAAAGTCAAAGTACCCCTCATTTGTCCCAGCACAGCGGGTGTCCCAGCATATAGGGAGGGACTTTACCGGCCGGCCGAGTTGAAGCAGCCAATCCGTGGGCTCGATTTCTTCGCCTGCTATATTTGTCGTAAGATTCGCTGTGCGAGCAAGTTCTCCAACGCCATGATGAAAGGCAAACGGGGGAAATTAGGCAATGGTACTGCGGCAGAGAAAGCTGGACGTTTCTGTATTCCATGTGGAATGAGGGTGGGAACATACACGCGAGGTGGCTGGCTTCAGTATGGAGGGGCTACGGGTAGCTACGGATTTGTATGTCACGGATGTGGAACTTTTCAAGAAGCAGGATTTGAATATGTAGCAGCGGGTACAAGGTTTTGTGCTAGTTGTAGAGCACAATGATTTAGAAGAGTCATCATCGGCCAGCATATCGACCTTTTGATATTAAGCAATTTGATGAGATTGGAGATATTGAGTCACATTACATCTCCCCGTAAGACGGGCAGCGTCGCATCTTTCAGATCACAGTCATGACACAACCACACAACTCGAGTTGTAAACATCGCCTCCTCCAGAAACTCGCTCCATCGCGCCATTCCCTCCTATTTGCGATACAACGTCTTTTCCCACGCAATGAACACCTTGCGACGTAGTGAATTCAGAGAAAACTGTCAGACCCAGTCTCGGCACTGTCGGTGATGCAAATGAACAGAGGCTATCAGTTGATTTTACGTAAAGCTACACTACCAGTTACTCTGGCCTTGTTGAAATCACTCAGGGATGTGGAGAGAAAAACGCCAGTCGAAGGCTTCTAGTGTTGAGATGAACGTGTTCACCAGTATATCCTTCCGAGTGTATCTGTGACTGATATCTCTAAAGCCAAGCACCGTCTTGAGTCAGGAGTAGGTTGGCAATAGGAAGATGACTCTAGTGATTGTAATACTCGGAAGTCTCGTTCAGAGAAGACTACGTTATGACGCCGATGATATCATCTGCAGACGTCTGAGAGAAGGCCATGTCGAACGACTACTTCTGCCTGGGTCTAAACATAGCGATAAATGCATAAGCCGCGTCGAAGACTCACGAACAGGACTTTGAACTGTCTGAAGACGCTAATCAATACTAGTATGCCACCCTGTGTAGAAGTGTTGGGTTTACAGAGCAATGCTGATTCTTCGTTATGGCACGTGAACATATCGGTAGAAGCAAGCACTAAGAACGCGCACGGATTACAACGCGATTCGGATCTCTTATAGCCCGTGCACGCGAGATGCGAGACGCGTTTGTTGTGTGAGGCACTGACCCCGACATCCGTTCCGCTCACCCCGCACGGCCAAGGACCACAAGCGCGACTCATGATGCTGGCGCAGAGCGTCATTCGCGTGTCTGTTGGAGCAGCGTTGCGCGCTTGACAAGATTTAGGTTGCGACGCAATAGTATGAGTTACGAAGTTGGTGGAGGTCACTCTGTGGAGCCTGTCAGAGGTGTCGTGGTTCTAAGGTAAGCCATCGTCTTGTTGTAACGGTGACGCAGATTGTCACAGGTTCCGCAGAAAGACACAGCTTCTCTTGTGCAAAAGGCTGGTTGTTGAGGCTAGGCTGCCCACACGTTCTTTTCATAACACGCTGCGTCTGGCAAACGTCACGCGCCATTCGTTGAGTTTGGTTGGTGAAAGAGAAATGGATACTTATCACTCGCATATCATTGCCTATCGCTACGAGTCTGCAACGAACAACCCTACCCTGCTTAATCTCAAGAGTCTGACAACAAAAGACGCATCCCTCCAAGTCCCCACTGCCCCAGATGCCGCTGGATAAACTCAATACAATGCAAGAACGTCGGCTTGCCACCATAACATGCCCCACTCTCTAGATGTTGAGCTAACCCACTTAGAGTTGTGAATTGCTTTCCCTTTCCTCGCTTTGTTTCGACCCTGCTAGCGTCTACTGGAAGGAGGTTACTCGGGCAGTGGTAGACCTTATCGCAGTGTGCTGGAGAGATCATGTGCTGCCCAAGAGCCTGCACTGTAGCAAAGGCTCTGCACTTCCTTGGACAAAGGGGACAACGGAGTTCGGGCTCGGTTTTGTCGAGCGGGAGAAGGCTATCTCCAAGCAGCGACCAATCCACCAAACTACCCTCCGCACTCGCCCAAGAGTGTGTGGGAGTGATCAGCGACCAGCCATCTGCACTATCGAGAGACGCTGTCGGCGTTTCGGGCTGAGGAGACAGACGGTGTGCTGAGAGGTGGGTAGAGCTCGAAGGCGTGAGTGTGGGGAGGCTGTGAATCGTACGATCCTTGTCGTACAGCTGAACGATGTCGTAGATGTCATCTCGGTCCATACCTGAGCAGCACCTTCCGCTTTCCAGATGGTGCAGCAGAGCCGACGGGGCACTGAACTTTCCTGTGCATTCCTCTCTCACAGGACAACGTAGCGCACTGAGTGGCTTGTGCTTTATCGACTTACAGTGTTGTTGGAGAGACTGGAAAGAGGAAAAGGTTCGCTGACATTTCTTGCATGTCTGATCATCCACACTCGCCATAGTGACTTGTCCAGCCTTTCTTGCGTTGCCGTGGGGCTTTTGCTGCAAAGGCTTCCGATGCGCACGACTCGCCATGTGTGCGTTCAAGGCATGGATGTCTTCGAAAGAGATGTCACAGTTGCAGCACCGGTATTCAGAAGCATGGAGTTCTACCTCGCGGTGAGCCCTCCAAGCGCTCTGGCTTTCGAAGGATAGGTCGCATTCCGAACAGAAGCAGTGTCCCGTAGCGATGCGGTGGTCTTCAAGGATATCCAGGCGCTCACAGAGCTTGCCGCAATAGCCGCATTTGCGAATGGCAAAGTCGTACTGAGCCACTGGAGGATGTTTGCAGAGATAGCTGCAGACATGTGAAGGAAAGTGCCCTCGCGCCCTTCGATGTTCTTCCAGGTCAATCGCATGCGTATAGGTGTGGCCACAGAAACATCCAAGATGATCGGCTGAGCGAAGGGTCATTCTGACGATTAGATCGATGGAGAGCGAATCAGTTACAACCAGGCGCAATGAGAAAGACAGTGGATAGCGAGGGGAGGGATGGGAAGATGACGGATAAATAGTTGCCAGTCTTTTGTCTATTCCACGAGCTTGTTTGTCGTGGTGTTGGAGCACCAAGTACCAGCCCCGCTCCAGGAGCGAACGAGAGCTTCTTATCCGTTAATGCTGTCTGGATCACGAGAGTGAAGGCTGATAGGGCCGATGTGACCAGAAGCTTACCAGCAAGCCTACCTTGGCCGTAACTTTATCTCTGCATCTACCCCGCACTACCTTGGTAGCGCAGTGCACGAATCAACCCAGCAGGTATTACGTGAGATGAGAGTGATCAGGGAAGCAAAGCCAACAAACTTACTTTATCATATCTCCGTGTAGGATCAGCTAACTTGAACACAGCGGCAGCGGTCGTAAGGAGAAGAAAACGTCAACAGCGAGTACAAGAAGTGTGGGAAATCTGCTGGTCTACAACAGTGCCAGGAATATCGCGGTAGAGCTGTACTCGAACTACCAAAGGAGATTAGAAGCACGTGCTTGCGATATTGTGAAAGAGCGTCAGAAGAGGGAGCTGCGACTGCAAACTTGGAAGTATACTGTGATCCTAAAACTACAAACCTGAGAACACCGCGCCTGGAAAGACTGCAAAGGCACATAAGCTTGAGACGGCGAAGGAGAAGCGTGTAGTGTGTGACGTAGGCAAGGTAGTGCTGGAGAGAGGAACGACCGAAGATGTCTGCATTTGAGGTTTGCGCTGCCATGCCTCCAGGCTACTGGGTTGGAGTGATTCTGCATAAGTTCGAGTGTTGCATGATACCACAGAGGCGGCCAGACGCCTCAGCAACACGACTAAGGCTTTGGCCGACGCCTCTGCCAGACATCAGCTGCATTTTGATGTAGAATTTCAAATCTCCCTACGATCTTTCTCCAGCGAGAATCTGGAGTCTGAGACGGATCTCAGCGTCTTCAGGATAGTCTTCCATTGCGGCCAGCGGAGACGCCGCCAATGCTGATACTGGCTTGACACGTTCTTTCCTTCTTTCGATGTTGCCTGTCGGTCTGGTCTGCATCGTATGCAGAAATCTAGAGACAGAAGAGACGGCTGAGCTGAGTGCGCTGATACAGTGGAGGTATTTGTAATGAAGAAGACGGTGCCTGTGAATTTGACCTGGAGTCGGAAGCCAATTCTCTCTCACAAGCACGAGCAGGGCTTCTCATAGAAATAAGGGTTTGCAGGTCTCTCGTCTAATTCTGTAGAAACAAGCCCAAACACGGATAGAGAAAGGTCAGCACGAAAGTAAATGAAGCTCAACGAGAAAAAGAACTGCCTCCCGCATAGAGTGCCGTGAATGTACAGGTGCAACAAGACATTGTAAACAAGGATGCTTAGCGCTAAGTAGTTGATCTATCCTCACGTAGGCTGCTCTATAGTGCGAACTATCTACGGCAACAGTGGAACACAAAGTAGGGTGCTGACAAAAGAGGACTAGCGTGACAAGCACGAGAGAACAAATGTCTGGTGCTTGCCACGCTAGTCCCGAAACGCCACCAGCCGAACAGTATCAGGCAGCATGTCATGCTGCCCCGTAAACATCCCCACTCAGAGCATCAAGGCTGCAGGAAACATGGAGACAGCCATGACGAGCAGAGTCTTGTACATCAGCATCTCTCTTGCGCCATCTTTCCAGCTCGATGTGGCTGAGAAAGGAACGCTGGGCGCGGTGGGCGCGGAGTAGTTTCGGGTCGCGTTGGTCCTGTTGTCCCAGTAGGGTAGTGGCAGGCGGAGGGACGGGCTGGTTGGGAAGAGAAGAGGCCGCGAGCCTGTCGCATCCACGGCGCTCAGCGCGCTCGTAACAGTAGTCGTCGTCGTAGTCTTGCAGACCTCGCTAGTAATGTTTGCAGCACTAGCGTTGCTCTCTCGCTGCTCAAACGATGCAGTCGACAGCCCGACGAGTACTAAAAAGCACAAGAATCTCATCGCGGGAGGCTACGTTTTCGCATATGATACCCGGAATGCTCCTCAAGTACATTGTACATTGACTGAGAGCCAGATTAATGTAGATAATCCTCCAACTCTATGCGCAACACTTTTATCGAGGCCAGCACAAAGATGCGGGCCAGTACATTCCTCACGCGCATTCGCTGCACCTACAAATATCGCCAGATTCACGCAACCCAGAAACGACATCTCACCGCTGTCTTCATCATACTGTGACCACAAACATGGAGTCTATCGTCTCCAAAGTGCACGCCGAGCTCGTCGACCTCGCAGCGACATATGCAGACGCTGGGCGTGAGAACGTCACGCTCAGTCTGATGGCAGACTTCCAGCGCGCTGTGTTCCCGCTGCTCGACGAGCGCATTCGCATCAAGGACCTCGAGCAGTCCGAGGAGCTTAGGGACGAGATGGTACAGCTGCTCAGAGACGAGCATCCCACGGAGCCTGCATGGCCCTACCTCGACCAGCTGGACAAGCAGGACAGGTGCTTCGCCAAGATGGGGTGTAAGTTCCAGCTCGGAGCAGGACTCTACAGGTCGCCGTCATGCGAAGAGCACTTTGTGTGCAAAAATCACCAGTCGAGCCCTTGCATCGCGAAGCACGAGCAGGCACCGGACTATATCAGCAAGACTAAGCACGATGAGAAGGAAACAGGTGCAAGCCCAGAGAAGCCGGAAAAAGAGCCCCGAGTAAGGGCAGATCTGGCAAAAAGTATGTTTGGGGATGAGGAGGCAGACAGAGCAGATGTAGTAGAGAAGTCTGCGGGTAAAAGAGACGCAGACGACGAACGATTGTCCGAGCCTCAGGCGGAAGAGATTCCCGAGAAGGGAAAGCCAACCAAAGAAGCAGCGGCCAAAGGGGCAGCAGACACAAGCGCTTTGAAGGGGATGGTTTCTTTCGCCGACGTACTAGGCAATTTTACAAGGGTTGACAAGGGCAGTGAGAAGCCGACAGCTCCTTCCATGGCAACGGAGTCTACTGCGGTAATGCAAGAAAACCCAAAGCGCGGTGACGAAAAGGCGGAAAAGAAAGCTGTCGACGAAGAGCACCGCCCTGCGAAGTTCAAGGTTGAAGACGCGCAATACCTTTCCGTCGATGACTTTAGCTACGACCGCGGCAGCTTGATGAGCGAGGTCCAGGTGTGCCAGCTGCGAACAAAATCTGGGGCGCTTGTGTGGGTTCCGATGGAAGACTACCTTCGGCTCAAACACGAGTACGTCAGGCTAGCCTCCAGCGACGAGAGCGAGTGGGACGACGGCATCGTGAAGGGAGAGGACATGAATCGGCAGAATGTGAATGTCGGAAAGTAGACATGGCGGCAAGAGGTTAACATCAAACGTGCGCAGCCACGCGTAGGCTTTCTACGGTTTTCTTAGCTAGAGCTGTCTTTGCGTTACTGTTATCTGTACGAGAAGATGCAGATCTAGATTCGTGCCTCTACAATGAATAGATCGAAACAAATATAAGAAGTCTTCTGCAACAACCTCTTCTTCTAATCATATCTCAGTATTAGCGCAGTTTCTCGAGAGGCCAAGTTGGCTGCGAGACGAGTGAATCTGAGGAGCTACTGTAGTTCTGAGGGCACAGCCACTGGGCTACACTCTAACGTGCAGGTGCTCAAAGCCTGTTCTATCTGCTCTACAAAGTAATATTACCACAGAGACCCGGCTGAGGCCCAAGACAGCTCTCGTTGGCAATCGCTGCTGGTGGTGGCAGAATGCATTGGGCTGCTTGATCCGGAGACTGCAGCGAAAAGACAGAGCAGTCTTCGACCAGCCCCGATGAGTTTGTGCAGCTGCCGATCGCTTGCTGTAGTATGTCTACCTTCCACCCATTCTGAAAGTCTCCGTGGTAGCTCGAGCCTGAAACTGCGTGAGGCAAGGCTCTCAGGAAGCGGGCGCTCTTACCTGTCCGATCGCCGTTGCTGAGCAGAAAGTGCCCAGAAACATTTCTGAAGACGGCGGTGTTCCAGATGGTCTCGTAGAACAGGCCCGGAATGCGAGCGTCGTAGTGTTCGGGACACGCGCCCTCCATGACTAGGTCTGGATAGGCTACGTGAGACTTGTGGTCAGCAGCGCTAGGAGCAACACCGTCCCAGCACGACGGAAACATCAGCTCGAGGCGAAGGCCGTTCGCGCAGTTTGCATCGATGAACGTCTTGCTCGGAAGCATGTGACGCGTGAGGGCGCCTTCGGAATGGCCGCGGTAGTTCAGGCAAGTGAACCCAGTAGCCTTTTCTGCGAGCGCTTCCGGCGTCTTGTCGTCCGGGCCCCACAGCGACTGCGGGATGTTTGGAGTGCGCACAGACACATTCCGCCTGTTTGCGTCGCCGGCAACCATCGCGAAGCCCGGGGGAAAAGCCGTAATCTTCTCTCCGAAGAGAAAGTAGTAGCTGTAGCAGCATCAGCCTCGGCTTTCAGACTGGATCTCCCGTGCCTACACCACCATCCCGCCGACTTGCGGGACGATCTCGATGCTACCGTTCGCGTGGGAGAACATCAGCGGCGGTGTCCAGTAAGCAGACATGTCCTCGAGGACCGCGCACGTGGTGCAGCTGGACTGCAGTAGGGCATCGTAGGAGGAGGAGAAACCTAGGTCTAGGCTAAAAGTCAGGCACCGATCTTCGACGCTCACACAGTACGTACTCTGTCCCCCGTGCAGCGTGTGCGCGTGTTGCGACGGGCGTCCTTCCGAGACGATGGGATCGATTCGAAAGACGCCCAATCGGGCATAGCACGGGAGCCGCCAGAACGCGCTGGCGACTGAGGAAAGCACGTTTATATGCAGGATCAGCCTGAGGATCATACTCGAGCTACGGGTGCGAGGCATAGAATTTACTCGTTGATTTGTTTCTACGGACTTGCACACTAACGCCTTAATATACATTCTTCTGCGACTACAAAATGAGGGCGCTTCTTTTCTCAGTTCACGTCAGTTGTTATGCGTTGATCTTCTTCCAATTTGCGAACTGCGCGGGATAGAGAAGCTGCTGCTGTTCGTCCAAGTCCGCATACGTTGTGTCGTCGGGCAGGTCAAACAGCTCTAGGAACTCTGCGTGAAAGCGCTGCCTGGGCGACTTTCCGGACCGTGGTCTAGCAGGAGTCTGCTCAAGTCGCATGCTTGGTGGGGGCGCAGAGCGACGCGGCGAGATTGGAGGTTTCACGGGCGCGGGGCTTGCTGCCGGTTCAGCAGTAGTGTACCGCGATCCGCTCCTGCGGGAGGCCGCCTTTCTCTCGTGAACCAACTCACGGAGCGGCTCAGGCCTGTCCGGCGCCCCGCTCATACACTTTTCCTCGAACTTGTTCTCCAGTCTGACTGCGATGTTGTAGAATGTAATCGACTTTTGCCGGTCGTCATTCCCTTTCATGAGAAGCTTCATCGTAGACCGAGTTTCGTGGCTGTAGCCAGTCTCGTTCTCGATGTTGTATGTCGATGCGTAGAGCGCGGGATCTAGATAGACGAAGCAGCGGGTGTGGGGCCGTCTTCCTGCAAAGTCGGGAGCTAGCACGTCAACCTCGGCGTCGTGTCCAACGCCCACCTTGGAGTCCCAGTACACCACCAGCACCTTTACTTCGCCGAGTATGCCCATCGGAAGCGGTAGCTTTTTATCTTTGTGGTGCTGCACGATCCTCTCGACGATGCGGTTGCTGCGCTGGGTGACGTCTCTGGTTTCCTGGTACCTGGACCCGGCTGGGAGGGTCGACTCGAAGCGAGCGCTGTACGCATCGGCCGACCCATACCTAACACAGTAGCGAATCTGAGAGTTTCTCATGATGTGACCAAAGGCCTCGCTTTGTTGGTTCTGCAGCGAGGGCTCGATGTGTCTGTCGTCGACGTCGACGTCCCATGCCATGTCGAGGTCGTCCACGAGTCTGTTGGTAGACGTTTTTGGTTCTTCCTGTGGCTCACGTTTGATCTTTCGATCTTTCGAAGGAGCTCCGAGAACATTGGTGTATGTCGGCTCGGGGTCTGGCGTGCTGGCCGTAGCATGTTGTCCTGTCACATCTAGTCTTCCCGTGTCTGGTTCCGTCGCTTCCTGTTGCATCGCATCTTGTCTAGTTGCTTGTTGTTGCGTCGCATCTTGTGTTGTGGTACCTTGGATCACGGTGTCACCGTCCGACGTTGCACCAGCCTCTGGACTGGCTACTGTGCCAGGGTTCATGTTTGCTTGCGCCATGGCGCTATCGTACCCGGCTAGTGCCCTCTCTATCTCTTTCAGCCTCTGGTCGTCGTCATCGGTAAACATGCCCTGTTTCTGTGCCTCTAGCAGCTTCGCTTGTTCTGCTTCTAGCTTCCTGTACCTGTCGTCATGGTGAGCTATTGCCGATTGCTTCTGACTCCGGGTCTTTGGCTCTCGGCTGGTGCTAGATTTATTGATTTTGCTGATAGAACTCATGCTTGTGTGAGTCTCTTGTCTGTTTCGGAGAAAGCCTGCATCGAGGCGCTTCTACTTATACAGTGGGCAGAGCAGGTGGCAGAACATCAACAAGAGGGCGCCGCTAGATTTGCGCACCCCACCCTCTTCAAGCACTTTTTGTGTATTCAAATGAGCACCAAGTCAGATTTTCCGCTCCTTAGTAACTTGGTGCATATTTTAACCCTATAGGCCAAGTCACATCTCAGTAGACCGAAGCGAATCCTTCTACCTACTAAACTGCATGCTATCCTAGGAGCTCATGCAAGAGAACACTGAAATCGGATCTTAACAATAGCTGGCTCTTTTTCTTATGTTGAAGAGTGTTTGTACATTATGCTGAACTACACATATATATTCACTACGCCCCTCCGTCCCTGCGTCTCTCTAGCAGCCGACCCGAGAAGACCTCCTCCTGAGCATACTCGGGAATGGGAGGTCTAGACAGATATCCAGGCAGAGAAGCGTTCTTTGTAGCTGGTGGTGATTTCTTGAGGGGTGGCGCCTTGGAGAGGAAGTCCTCGCTCGTCTTTATGATAGGCACTGGATACGTTGTTTCCTGTGATGTCAAATAAGGACATGTGGCAAGAGTCCCGGCAACCTACAAGCTGTGTGGAGGACGGCGGCCAGTCTCGCCGTGCTGGATCTGAGTTGTAGATGTACAGCTGGCCGTTGCTCTTCTGGATGCACAGCCACACCCCTACGTTGTACCGGTCGCTTATCTCGTGTCCGCGACGGAGGAAGTTGTTCTTCCGCTTTCGGAAAGACTCCTGCTGCAACCTTTTCGAGGCCATAACAATCTTGTCGAGCGCTAGTTGCAGGACGTTGGGCCTCTTATTTATATGTGGCAACCGCGCACTGACCACCGTTGTACTATATCAGCATGCCTAGACGTTGCACCTAGCCTGTCTGGACATGGATCGCCCGCTCAGCCCTTCCATCTGGTACGCTGCTCTGTTCGCAGGGCTCGTAGCGTTCCTCGTTCTCTGTTTCAGCATTCGCCTAGCCCTCCGATGGCTGGCTGCACCTGTAACAGATGCCATCCTCAGGTATCTGGTGTATTCTACGACGAGCGTCTTCGGGCTATCTAGCTGGCGCGTCTCAGCAAAAGATGTGCTGTTCGCTGTGCTGTATGTGAGCGCCAACGGAGTTTGCATGGGCTGGGGCGTGAACACCGCCGAAGAGCTAAGCCGCCGGTCCGCTTCGATGCTCGCGACGAATCTCGTCCTCCTGCTCCCCGGTGCCAGCATAGCCGCCGATATTCTGCACGTATCGTTGAGAACATACCATCAGACTCACAGCATAGTCGGCCTGGTCGCTCTGATCGAAGCTTCTATCCACGCCTGTCGTGAACTCACCGCACGCAGGTGGACTGGCGATGTCAACACGATAAGCGGGACGGCGGTACGTGTGTATGTGTCTTTGTTAGTGCGGCGATCTTACACAGCCAGATGTTCGGATGCCTCGTGCTGATGAGTGTCGCTTCCCTGCCCGCCTTCCGTCGCCGTGCGTACGAGATATTCCGGGTGATTCACTTTGGCTGCTCTACGTCGATATGCATATTGCTATGGCTCCACGTCCCCCAAGCGAACAAATCTGGGCGAGCTCACGTCATCGTGGGGACGTGTATATGGGCAGCGACCTACGCGCACAGAAACATCCTCCTCGTCTATCGCAACTTCTCAGTGAGTAAGCCCAGCACCCGCATCCAGGTGGAGAGCGTGCACAACAGTCTCCAAGTCAAGGTCAGGCTCCCTAGGCCCTGGAAGGTCAGGCCCGGTCAGTATGTCTACCTTACCATGATAAGGTCTGGATTCTTCTCGATCCTCCAGCGCCACCCGTTCATGGTGGCAGGGTCGGAGGCACAGGACCACGACTTCCAGCTGCGCATCCAGCCGAGGGCTGGCTTCACGAGTCGACTCTTGACGCGGACCCTTGGCGGAACGAGGGAGTTTAGCGCTTTCATAGAAGGGCCCTACGGACACGGATTCGACTTGCAGAACTTTGGCACGGTAGTTCTGTTTGCGAGCGGGATTGGAATCGTCGGCCATCTTGCGTACATCCAGAAGCTCGTGCTCGACTATCGGCAGTCCAAGACCAAGACCCGAGATCTTCTCGTGGTCTGGCACGTGGACAACAAGTACCAGCTGGACCTGGTGTGGGAGGTCATGAACGACGTGCTGAGGAGAGACGATCTTCCGGCGACTGCGATGCGCCGAGATGCACGCGCTCCCTACGGAAGCGGAAAGATGGACCGACACTTGGGCAGCAGCAGTAGCAGCACCAGCGAAAGCCCAGGCTTACGACCTGCGCCGCACGGAGAGAATGCAAGTGTTGCAGCATGGCCATCTAATGTCACTAAGCGCTAATGCTTTTCAGATCATCGACGTCTACATCTACGGTGACTACGAGATACTAGACGAGGCAGGACAGGCAGTGCCCTACAAACGCGCGGGCAGCCGCATTGCTGAGGTGCAAGGAAAGCCAGACGTGCGGCAAATCACCAGCGACGTGCTTGAGACGGGCGTGGGAAGGATCGCAATCTGCGGTAAGCTTTGTAATTTTCTATTGCTACAGTAGTTCATTCATTGACCCAAGCAGTATGCGCACACCGGCAGATGAGGTACCAGGCGCGAGACGTGGTTGCCCGCACGAGCCGTAAGCGGGTGAGGTATCGGGAGCTAGACTTCCAGCCGTTTGAAGCGAGGAGGTCTACTAGAGGAAAGAGGTCCTTGCCGATCAAGTGTCGCGGGATCGAAGCAGCTTAGGTAGAAAACAATGCACCCCAGATTCACCTCAAATCCACCCGTCCGTCGACATGGCAGCCTTTTTGGGGCTCTTGGCTGCTCGGTAGGGCGCTATAAAGGCGTCAAAGGCTTCCTCCTGGTCGTGGCGAAGCCGGTCTACCGCGTCCACGACTGCCTTAGAGAGGTCTCGAACTTCATCGAAAGCTGTCTCGTCGAGCAAACCAACAATGCATGCGTGAAGCAGATCCTGGGAGATGGTGCCAATCTTGTCCTTGAACTTCTCTGCGTGCCGATAGCACTCTCGGTAGAAGGTAAGCTCTAGCCTCAGTTCTCCGTTTCTGCGATTGAGGAAGTCAATGTACTGGACCACGTCGCGAGGTTGCTTGGACTTTTGCATGTAGCGGGGCTCCATCTCTATGGCGATGGTCTGGCCTCCGTAACATCTCACCATGTGATCGATGGCATTGGCTTCAAGAGGCCTTGCTCGAGGCGGTTGTCTCACAGCCGGATCCATGGTGAGGAGCGACGATTTTGGGGAGCGCGCCTTAAGTCTCGTACACAACCGTGGGCAAGAAAGTGCGGCCGGGTTTGTTTTATATCAAGCCTGCCGCACGAGCGTTGTCCACAGATCATCCGCCAATATGGATTCTCGACGGCTGACTGTCTTTCCAAGAACGGGGAATGGCTTAGACAACGCTAGATTGGCCGGCCGCAACGGTGACGCTCGTCCGCCCCAAGCTCCAAAGCGAAAAGTTCAAAGCGGCAACGAGCCGGCAGACCCCAAGCTTCCAAAGCTTGCGCCAACGCTCCGAGTCAAGCGCAAAACATTCACGCCGATCGACAGAGATCCCGACCAACACTACCGGTGCATACACAGCGTGGATCCAGAAGGAGAGAGACCCTACTGCCTAGCCCAGGAGGTTGCTTCAGACGCCGCTGAGCATGCCTATCAGGTCGTGATGATCCGACGCAGCCCAGACAAGCCCGTTGTAGGCCTGGAGAAGCCGAATCCGAATCTCCTCAACATCGTGTCTGTCTTTCGGTTTCGAGATTCTCTATTCACCGTGTTCGACCGACCCGGCCTTCCCCTGTCTGAGATTGCGGTGTCTCATTCTCCTCAGCTGGGGCTAGCCGAGGTGAAGACGATAAGCACAGAGGTAGGACTGTCGGATGTGCAACTGTTCTCGTCGTAACAATAGGGCAGGCACTTTCTGGTATCTGCGCTCTGAGTGCAGCAGGCCTTCATTTGCCTTCGATCGATATAGAAGACATCACGGTCTCGGCAAGCGATGGCCAAGTCAAAGTCGGTGAGTGCAAATCGTGTCTTGGACGACTACCGACCGCTGAAGGACAGCGAGCATTCGACCGAGCACCGCTGCACGAGGCAGCAGCAGACGGCAAGGCCAGTGCTTTTGGGGCCATGCTAGAAGATCTAGTGTCCCGTGTCCCGAGTCCTTTGGCGCTGCAGCAAAGCGACGACCTCCAATCTTTCATCCGACATGCCGATCAGGCAATATATCGAGAGCTACAGAAGGTAGACATGCTTCTCACAAGTGACAACACAGAACTAAGACACTGCAGGACGCCTTTCTAAAAGACTCGTTGCCAGCGCCGTCGCTGGTTCCTTTTGTGCTAAACGCCCAGATCATAGTGTTTGCAGTCGAGCACGTAGCAGAGGCTCGCATTACCGAGCTGGCGATGTCATAGCCGATGATGAAGTAGTCACAGTAATTACATGAACAAAGACACTCAGATGCATTCTTGTCAGAGTTTTGCTCAGCCCTTGCTTGCCGACATCTTCCCCCGTCGAGGTTTCTTTCGCCGCCCGCCTTCAGCAGCGAGCTCGAGAGCTTTGTTCAGGCTTGCCAGCTCATTCTTCCCCTCTTCGACTTGCTGGGAAAGTGTCTCAATCTGCTTGGAGAGCGCCATGTTGCGCTGCTGCAGCTCCACGTTTTGGTCCATGACGTGCTTCAACTTGGTGAAATGCTCGTCTTCCGAATGCTGACCAGATACTGCCTCTACAAGCAGTGCATTTTTGGCCGACTCTAGAATCATCGCACTGATGCTTTGGCCATTGCTTAATTCCCCTGCTTTGCCTTCAGCCAGCCTGGTCTGAGGGCTGCTCACCAGGCCTTCGACGCGCCTGGCGACCTCGTCAGCGAATGTCTTCGAGTCTTGCGCAGATCTATGGAGATCTTCACAAAGCCTCTCGGAGCCCTCGTATTCTTTCAGAAGCTTAAAGTGGCATTCTTGCAGCTCTGCGAATTGCTGGTGGAGCAGCTCGTGACCTTCCCGCTCGCGTTGTAGCTCCTGCTCGGTCGCAGCGACCTGGCGCTGTGTGTTGCCAATCTCGTTTTGACCCGCTTGGAGGTGGCGATGCATGCTGTGCAGCTGAGCCTGGCCGTGATGATACAAGTTGCTCATCTGTAGCGCAGCCTCGACACAGCATGTCGGGTGGCGGGGCTCGATGCTTCCCTGATGCTTAGAGTCAAAACCAAGCACACTGACGGAGCGAGTAGCCTACCTCTGGGGGTTGTCTTGGTGATGCCTGGCGTGGCTTTGGGTGACTCATTTTAGCAGATTCAGCGAAATGTTTTGTTAGATGTAGGGTCACCAGAGCGAGAAGCGGTCTAGATATTGTACTGACATGCAGCTTTGCCGTTCTATCACAGTACTACAGAATCAGCGTAGCAGTAAGAGCAAGGAGCGAGCAAGACGTCGAAAACTGTGCGAGAGCAACAAAGCGGCACTGCGTCAAGATGCTGCTCCATGCCGCAGACTAGTGTTCCAGGTAGAACGTGCTGCCGTTGTGATCCGGCTGGATATCTGTTGCCGACAGACGGGCGAGCCGTCACTTCTTCGCACGAGGATGGCTACTATGCGCTTCTAGGTAAAAGAGCTCAGTGCTCGTCATGGTATATCCTCCACCGCCGCGCTAAGCCGGGTTCAGTGTATGGGATTGACACTGCACGATCTGGCGTCGTGAAGGGGAAGACACCGACCCACACAAGGATCAACAACGTTCTGCACTTGGAGTTTTCTGGTTTAGGTGAGGCCTTCCTAGCTAGTGGATGTATCCTACACCAACAAAGCGATACGGCTCCACCGGCTCGGAACGGTACGGCTGGAAGCGCTGGGCTGGTGGAGATGACAATCTGAGAGTAGTATCTAGCCACAGTAGCTACTGAATGTCTGACGGCCGCAGTTCGAGAAGCTTTGACTATGGAGTCGATGTCTCATAGGAACGGCATCGTTCAGTGTAGTACTCCACTCCTCAAACTCGTAATTAGTGCAACTGCCGGCTGCACTCGGAAGCGGCGGACCTTGCTTTCTGCTGTCAAGACATGCTAGAACAAAGTTGCTGCTCGCGGCCTCTTTGTCGCACTGCGCCACTTGCTATAAGGACTTGTACCTTTCGCTAGGTCTTCGGCTAGCATCCAACATGGCTTCGAGCGATCAGAATGCGTGGTTCTCTGAACGGCCCGCCCTGTTCTCATCTTTGGACGCACTCATGGCTCCCGGCCCATCTAACACTTTCAGTTCTCGCCTGCCGCCCATCCCAGAGCAGGGGTGGGATCTTCAGTGGGAAGAAAACATGTTTCCCCTACCAGAGCCGTACGAGGGCTTCGAGAAGGCCTCCACTGCGGCCGTCGAGTCCGCTGCCCACGAAATCGCACCGCCCCAGACACACGAGGAGCTGGCCAAGTTGCAAGACGAGGTCCGACAGCTGCGCCACGATATCTCAGAGCTTCATGGCATGTTCTGCAAGCGGCTGGACAGCATGGAAACAAGCATTGGCGTGGCGCAACGCTATGTCAACGACCTGGTGCCCTGGTCGATGAAAGTCCATGAGAATTATTCGAAACTACTAGCGGTGGCAATGAAGCAGGAGAAGCGAGCGACAGACGGTGCTGTATGATCTGGTGGATAGAGATATCTTATTGTAGTCTGTTTTTCTTACATTTTCGCTTATAAATGCTTGGTGTCTGTGCTCACGTCTTCGCTCGCATCTTCTACTGCTAAGCTGATTCATCATGGGTGTGGTGATGGAGTGCAATGTGCGACCTGCCAAGCGCCCATATGGCAAATAATAATCATGACAATAAAATCTAACTAGCGATAATATAGCAGAAGCTAGGTCGAGTAAGACCCACGGAGATTGTGCGGCCATGTTAGCTTGTTTGTCCCTGCTGCAGCGACTTGAATACCAGTACCCCACGTCTACACGGTTCTTGCCCGTCTCCGGCGTGTTTGATCGTATCGCGCGCGCTCGGCGATGCTATCTTGAGTGAGATGATCATAGCTTTTGTGGCCCCCGCGCCTCCGTTGCAGCTTTGATGGCATTGTCCTCAGGCATCGAAGAAGTGTTTGTACTAGCGCACAGGTTCTCATGGCTTGGCGCCAGCCTCAGGTTCCCAGAAGTCGAATAAGTCAACCAACAAGAAGAGGTAAGCGAGTCAGGCCAGGAGATCAGGTGTGCGTCTTTGCACGAGCTTCTCCACTGTACGAGGGTCGAGTTTCGCTGCGTTACTGTGCAGCCATAGGCTATATACCTTCCAGTCTTACAGTACTCCGAGTCAATCTAGGCGCACCCTTTTGGAGGGCTTCGTTTTCAAGGGCACGGCTCTCTTTCTTTTCCTGTTGGTGTTGCACTGGCAGCTACTCGCACCTGCGATGTCAGCGGTTTGGTGGTCTGGTCTGCCAAAGTCAGCGTCTAGCAGCTGAAGCTTCGTGAGCTGTGTCATAGACTGCGGAAATCCGCTTATTCTATGCTGGCTCAGCTGATTGAACTGCAGGTAGATGGACGTGCGCTGGTCGAGATGGTGGACCTTGAGATCCGCGTCCTTGCGATAGCGACCACAGGCAGCACAAAGACTGGGGCCGCCGACATGGCCTAGGCTAGTCCCGTCTTCCGTGGTGAAGCAGGCGGCTGGGTACTCCTGCAGGATTCTCTCCACCAGCGCGCGCGTGTCGGGGCTGCGGCTGCGGATGGAACCTGAGCATACTACTGGGTTCCTCTTTATAACCGGCTTCTGGCGAAGTTCGAAGAAGAACGAGGCAGCAAAGAGCGCCCGCGTGAGGCTGGAGAAGTCGTGACCACGGAGAAAGTCTGCCGCCAAGTCTTCCAGCTCTGGCATCTTGCCAACGTCGTCGAGCGGGGGCTCCTGTCTTAGCGCTATGTTGATGCGGAAGTACTTGTGCCGCTCGGCTCTAGGCACTCGATTTACGTGGTCGTCCCAGCCGCTCTGGGCGTTCAGCACGGCGTTGAAGAGCCGGAACAAGCGTGGGAAGAAGCGGTCGCGAAAGCCCAGTCTTCGAGAGACGATCTGTGGCGACTCTGGATCTCGGGCGAACCCAGTGCCTATGGAGACAGCTAGATCAGGCGCAGTGCCCCAGATCGCCCGGGACTCCCACTCGGCGGGATCGATGGGGTTGTTGTGTTTCCCGGCGCCGCCGTCTTGCAAGAATCCTAGCCCCCGGATGAACTTTGCCGGGAAGTAGGACGGAGCAGCGGACGTAGCCCTGGCTCTGCCCAGTATAAGCTTGGAAGTTAGAAGCAAGACACAGAACGTACGCATCACAGATGAGGGTCTCGTCTTCTATGTGAGAAGCTCGATGGTGTTTGTAGCCTGCCGTCGTATGTTAGCCTTATCTCCAGAGGTGGGGTCTGTGTTTTCACCCTGCCTGACGCCGGCTCCATTGTAGTTGGAGAGAATGCAGAGCCTCGCACTCGACACAGTCATCGTCGTGACTGCGACTTTCGCTCCTGACATACGCGTGCCCGACTCTGTGAAGCCAAAAAGAGTGGCGTCGGACCCAAAGGCTTCTTTCACGCATGCTTCCATCTCGGCAGCGCCGTACAAGCTGTCTGTCAGCAGGGAAGACAGAAAGCCGTACACTTTCGCGAGCAGGCTGCTTCCGAATGGCTGGCGAGGACGGAAGACGCGCTGGGCCAGCTGCTTGAAGACAGCGATGCACTCGTCCAGGTTGCGGCGCAGAAGGAACATGAGCGCGATGAGGCCACCTGCGTCTGGCGATCAGTGATCTGTGGACTTTTGGATATGACAGAACGGGCGATACTCACCTGTACTGGTCCCCAGCGTCAAGTCAAACTCGTCGTAGATGGGATACGGGAGCTTCCGATGCTGATCGAGCGCGCGTAGGATTTGCAGCGTGAATATCCCCCGGATGCCACCCCCGTCGAGCACAAGCAGCCGGCTTCCTGCTGTTGGTGGCTTGAGACGTACTACGAGCTCGCTTTTGCGCTGACACAAGAGGCACTGGGAGACGGAGTATGAATGCTCCATCTGCTGTCTTTTGGCCCCGAACTTGCAGATGCACGACTCACAGAGCGCGTGTCCACAGCGCAGACTATGCTCAGGCTTACGAAAGAGACAGTAAAGACACAGCTGAGAGCTTCGGATGGTGTTCCAGTCTATGGGGATGGTCTGGAGGTTTCTCTTGTGCAGTCCCACTGTCGTCAGCGTCTCCTTGTCGAGCTCGGCGCAGAAGCGGCTGAAGATGGCTTTTAACCGTGCACACAAAGCTGCTGGCGAGAGGCCTTGCTCAGACGGCAGCGACGAAAAGGCTTTGTAGCAATGAGGTTGGTACAAGGACTCGAAGACCGCCGATGGTTGGAAGCCTGTCGGTCAGAATGGAAGCATGATGGCTCGAGTGTAGCATACTTACGATGCATGCCGGGCGGAAGGCTGTCTAGCATGAGCGCAGACGCCATGTATTCCAACGCAGCTTCCTAGCTCGTGTGGTTAGCAGCGCACAGTCGCAGAAAGTCGCGTAGGTAGAGCCAGAGACGGTCTTGTACTTAGTTGCGTTCGCGCGTCGCGAGGATGAAGCTGAACGGCGAGGAGACGCATGTCGCGACGTGCCGCAATGCTGACTCGAAAAAGGCGTTGAGATGGTAGGCCGAGTAGAGCGTCTTAGAGGCACTTCTGCGTTTTCTCACTGTGTTCGCACTAGTAAGTATGGTGTTTTTCAGAGCGCGGAACCTGGAAGAAGACAGGGTCTTGCGGCCATCTGCCGGCAGCACCACGCGCTGGATACTACCAAACATGGGTAGGCCCAGACTGCCCTTGTGCTTGTACGTGCTGCTGCTGGCAAGGATGACCTGCAGCTTCCAGCCCAGCGAGAGGCGGCTATGACGTCCGCATCGCTGGAGGAACCGGATGCCCGCCTCACGGGTAGAGAAGTCATCCAGGAAAAGACAGACGACATCGACAAACGGCAGGAGCAACTTGCCGACGACAGTCTCCACGAATAAGTCGGCCTCGGCCGTGGGCGAGGATTCTGATAGCCACGCGACTTTGTAACGCGAACGCGCATTGTGCTTTGGCGGCGGCTTCTGCGTCGTGCAAACATTGTCCATATCTAGGCTGGCCACTAGCAGCGGATGCTCATCATCGAGCGTCGAGCCATCCGCCTGTAGTTGTGCGATACCGCGCGATCTCGACTGGCTGCGCCCCGGCAACAGCGCCTGGCGTGCGGCTTCTCCCTCACGCGTACCTACCAGCAAGATGGTGGAGGGCGACTGCGCATGTGGGTCGCAGAGGCTAGCAGTGGCCTGTTCCAAGCCGTTTCCACACGCTAAGAACCAATCGGCTCCCGTCTGGAAGCCGTGCAGCCAGTCTGAGCTGTTCTGTGGCGGCATGTGTAACTACCTGAGATAGGCGAATAGAGTCTACTCATGCGCAAGAACCCATTAGTGTCTCTATAAGTACTCTTGAGAGAAGAGCAGATTCCTGCGAGACGCACTTTCACGGTGGGCACCCGCCGTGACACAATATCTATAGTCAAGGCGGACCCGTGCTGTCATGCAAAAACAAACTCGAACATGAGTTCCAAGCTCAAGAGATGTCGATATTACCTTGGAACTGCGCAAATACAACTACTGCACTTGCGCTACCGTGCATCTAGCACAGAACCCGACGACTGCGTTAGCTGCTGCACGTCTGATCTAGAACACAACTTGCCCGCGCTCATTACTTCTGCTAAGTACTAGGACTGTTTAGCGGGCGCAGGCGTATCTGCGAATGCATTGTATGCTGTCGGAAAGTCTCCATGGCTTGCTCTTCCGAGCGGTGTTGAGCTGCCATGTCTTCACGGACGGTTTCGGCTAGACGCCGCCAAACGAGATGCGTCGCAAAGCCAGGAGGACTAGTAGCTCGTCGATCTCTACAGCTCAGGTAAGAGTGTTGTCCTCTTGTCCACCACCAGTTGTTGAGCGGCACACAGACGCGCCCACAGCTACCCTAGCTCAGATCCGTCAGTTCTACAGCCGACATGCGCCTCTGTGCGACGGAGAGAAGTTCCTGCACATCCGGTTCTACGAACGCGAAAAGGACTACGCGGTCGCCTCACGGTGGACGAGGCTGCTAGGGGCCAAGGCGAAGACCCTGCGTCAAGTCGTGCACAGCGAGTGGCTGCGCGACTGCCTCGAGAAGCTAGAGCCGTTCCGCGCTCTATGGATGGGCTTTCAGCTCGGCTCGTTTCCGCTCATCCTAAGCTGGCGGTGCAGACAGGTAGGGCTCCATAAAGCTAGAGCGGTCCGGGTCGTTTACTCTTGTAGGAGGTCGAATACTACCTCAACCAGATGTACGAGATCTAGCATGCGATCACAGGCGGCGACGCTCATCTCTGCGACGAGTACACTGTCGAGAAGCTCGGTAGTCTTGCGCCTCTGTAGAGTTCTCGCGACCGCTCGACCATCGAAACCTAGTTCGCCGCACGTCAGATCTTTCCCCGCGCACGTGATCCTGGGGTACGCGCTCAGATCCTCGAAAGGGTCCTTGCTGTCCAGGGGCTTATCCTTACTTTTCAGACCTTCTTCAAGCATGTCAAGATACTCGGAGCTGTGATGCTCCCTTTGAGGGCGCTGTTCTCAGCAGGCGAGCTGTGTCCTCCGAGAGACGAGTTCAGCCCAGTGCCCAGACGCTTTCCCTCGGTGAGAGACATCCTGCTCCAGCATCGCCGCGAGCCACCTGCGCACAACGACCGACAGTGCCTGCTGCAATACAGCGATCACGACGAGCGCTTCTTTGAGTGCAGCAACTCCGGCCTGTACGCGTACTGGCAGCTCTGCCTCTATCTGCTCCGCCACGCACACGACCCGTGGAAGCGTCCAAAGGAAACATGCGACCAGGCAGCGTCGTCGGAGCGTCCTGGGTGGGTGATTCGGCTCGGCCAGTTTGCGTGCAGGCTTGGATTTGAGTCTGACCAGATCTCGTCCCTGTGCAGTCAAGATCCCGACCTTTCGGAGATCCGCATGCACATGCTCGAGGAACGACCCAGCGTCCTCTTCTCGGCACCTGTCGACAGGTTCAACGCAGAAGCCGACTCGCGCCAAAAAGGCCAGGCGATCTTCGAGCCTCGCCCGCCTGCGCTTACTCCTCTGATGACGACCGACAGCGCGGCTGCAGTCCGGGCGCCCAGGAACCATCCAGAACTGTTTCTTCCTACGATATGGAGCGCGCTTGCGCAAGAGCGAAGACACGCTCTGACGGAGTATGGAGTGCTTGTGCTGACGTCCATGTCTTTCTTTGAGAACTTTAGATCGAGCTCTGTCGGCGACGTTCGCGAGGGCGCTGAACCGGCTCGGGCGCTGCTGCGCTCTTCCTCTGTCTACTCTGTGCCTGTGTATCCCGACCATCTAGCAAGATCCCATGGCACTAGCATTACCTTTTGGCATCTGCCCCGGCATCGCGCCATGCATCCGATCGCAGAACATAGATGCGACGCGACGAAGGAGGACATCAAGAAAGCTGTTCGCAGTATTCGCGCGCAGGGCGTGGCGCCTCTGTTCGCTCTGGTGGACAGCGACGGGCGGCTCAGGCTGTGCGACCCCTCGCAGATCATGCATCGCCGCAAAAGATCCAAGCAGCCGAACGATGTGTACTATGTGTTTGGCGATGAAGACAGCAAGATCTGGGTCATGAAGAAGTTCGACAGCCACCGAACGTAGACTTTGTCACCTGACACGCGGCAACGGAAGCGCTTGGGGTGGAACAAGGTGACGGTCACCACATCGTTTTCCTCTTCGTTTTCCCTGATAAAGATCGTCATTTCCCCGCCCCCCGGAAGCGATTCATTGTCACACTGATTGAGCCGACATTTGGCCGTAGCATGGTGTTGGGGACAGCCGGCCTTCACACCAACTGTGGCACGGTAGCGTTCACTTGAGGAAGCACGCAACCCGAGCTCTTACAAAGCCCTTGGCCGAACGATTATAGCACAGCACCGATATGCAGGTATTAAGGGCAAAGATCCGTTTAGCGGGCGTCCGCTGCATCCTGCGGAATATCCTGCAGATCAGAGGCTATGCACCGATCAACGACCCCAGTCGCGACGCAAAAGACCAAGCAGCGAGTGAAGCAAGCATGCAACCGGTGCCGGGTGAAGAAGACAAAGGTAAGTGGTCTCATTCCGGATGCAGTCGATCATGCTTCTGACCTTAGTATTGTGCGATGGGAAACATCCGTGCGATAGATGTCGAGCGGAAAACGCGTTGTGTGACTACAGCCAAAACGCGGGTCACTTGCGAAATAGAACCTCTCCGTAAGCGTTCTTTGGAGGAGAAAGATGGTCGCTGCTTTCCGCTCACGTCGTCCGCAGGATGGCGCTCCTCGAGGAACAGAACAGGCAGCTCCGGGACACGGTACAAAAGCTGTATGAACACGTCCGGGCTGGTCACAGCTTGCCAGCACTGCCAGCATCGAGCACGGGAGAAGGCCGCCCGCTCTTGCACGACATTGTAGCCTATGTGAGAGCGCTGCCTACGGGTGTCACGAGCAGACATGAACAGGTTCAATGCCAGATCTCGGGGCCGGGTGCAGCCGCCGCTGTGTCCTTCTCGCAACCGCAGCCAGAAGCCTCGCAGTATCTAGACTTCACCGCAGCAGCCACGCAGCTCAACACCATCACGGCCTCGTCGATGCAACAAGACCCGTTGCTGACAGGGTACGACCCAGCGCAAGCGGAGTATGAGTCTCTCGAAAGCAGACTGGATCTGCAGGAGCTTTAGACACTCAGGGAGGTAGATCCGGCCGAGGTTGCAAGACTGAACGACTGGCTGCTGAACTACACAGCATGACGGGTGTAGATACACAGCCGCTAGGCTGAATGGAAAGACCTCGAGAACTTATCTCACAAACTTAATAATCGATCACATTCGTTCTACGTTATGTTGATTCTTCATCTCCTAATATGACTCCGTGCTTAGAACAAAAGCTCCTACACGGTCTTGGCAGAAGCCACGGAAACGTCGTCCTCGATGTCCAGATAGTCACCCAACATGTTCTCTACCGGTTCGCTGTAGGCTTCGATATCCTCGAACGCTGTGCTACTCGAAGAGACACGCTCCAAGTCCAGATCATCAACATCTACCGAGTTCTCCGACATTTGCCCGTCCTCTACAACCTGGATCTCTAGATGCTTTACCCCGTGGCACACGTCTAGCTTCACGACGTCGTCTGCGCCGTCATCCACCCTCTCCCGAGTATCTTCCCTGGTAGTGCGGACATAACGGTGGATGTCTGCCGTCGCTTCCTTGATCGCTCCACTAGCATCCAGCAGCAGCTCTCTCTGAAGATCTACAGCGCTTCTCATACTTTGAAGGCGAGCCTCTATCTCTTGTAGGCTGGGGCTGTCTCTCAAGATCCACACGGCTATATCGCTCTTCTCCTGCAGATGGAGAGTTCCATCGCTACCTGGCGGACTCAGCAGTGTGCTTGCCACTTCTGCGCGACACGCGGCCCCCCGTAGCATGAGATTTGCTGTGAGATTTAGCGAGTTTTGTCAAGTTTGTGAAGCACGCTTCCTACCTAAGAGCAAAACACATTCTGCATCCCGACCACCCGCGGTCTGCTCGGTGGGCAACGCCTCCAACTGCAGCGGATGGAGGAGAAACACGTCTCGGATCAGCTGCTCGTATTTGGCGGAGCCTAGCACCTTCGCGACACGAAAAAGCATGACAAGCTTGACGGTGGAAAGCGTCTCTGGCCGTAGTGTCTGTACGATGAAACTGAAGGCCACGGTGTTGTGCACGCGAGATGTGGCGGGGATCTTGTATCGTCGGATGGCCTCGGCCATGTTGACGAGCGTTTCCAGCGATATGTGAGCTTGCGGTATGAAGGAGCCATGGGCCGACTGGCAGACCAGGTGGAACGCCACAGGGTCTTCGTCTGGCAGCTCGATGCTCTCACGCAGCAAGCCGTGTTTGGTGGTGAAGAGCCTGTAGAACTCTGGTGAGAGATGAGACATGACCGAGGCAGAGACGAGAAAGCGAGCGTGCTGGATGCGAACTTCGATATCGCCGTTCTGATACGGAATCATGCCGAGGTCACTTGAGTGGATTGCTGTCTAGCAGGAGAGAGGGGTGGTCAGTATATGGCCCGCGTCACAGCCATTTATAAGGTCGCTCGATTGGAGATGTCTGTGTTGGCAACACAGGCTGGAGAGCCCTTTCACATCAGGCAGCGATCTGTCCAGCCACAGTGTCTTCGCTCTTGTCGGCCGCACCCAGCTGTTCGCGTCAGTTTTCGACAGGCTGCCAGTTGCTGGACAGCTATGCGGTCGTCGGGCCATCTCGGATGTCTGCGTGTGCGACCCTGACACCACTGCTGACGTCCGCTGTTGGAGACCAACATCTACCTCGCCATTTCCACCCATTCGGTTGTTGCACGACCTCAAGACCAGTAGCGTCGGCACTGCCGGCTCTGCCCTCTGCGCTACGGAGTTTGGCGCTTGCAACGCCAATAAGAGTGACACCCGGTTCTCCGGGCTCATGCACGGCGGCACTCAGCGTTCTCTCATGTCTGTTCTTCCGCCCGGGCCGCCGTGTTCCGAGCGTCTACAACAGTTCCTGGATTGCGAACATGTTCAAGCATGACTCGGACGCATCCCAGCTTGTCGAGCATCCATGCACGATATCTAAAAGCTCAACTGGGAACCATCGCACAAGGATTAAATTGGTTGGCTATACTACGTGTCGGCAATAGCTGCATAAACAATGTTGGTAGCTACTGCATGCTTACACAAAAGAATGATAGTAGATCCCAGGATTCTGGTTTCGCAAACTCTGTTGTAACTCTATCGTAGCTCTATCTTACCTGATGCGGTGACCACTGCGTCCGTGTCGGATACAGTCACTCCTTTCAGTTCCTCTCTGAGCTGCAGCGCTCGAGCAGAGCCGAGTCCGAGATCGTCGCTGGGAATGCGAACCACCGGGGTGGACGTAAGCGCCTCGTGCAGAAACAGAGGGGACGGTGTTGCATCCTTGGCTGGAGTTGCATCCTCGGCCGGCGTGTCTTGGGCCAGCGCGTCCTTGAGCGCGGTGGGAGAGAAGCTCAGCAACGGATTGAACGCTCTGCAAAGCAAGCGGTGGTACACGGCGGTCAGTCCGGTAGCAAGCACTATGACACACGCCTGTCCGATACATCTGGCACTGCCCTGCGAGTCTCGTACCAGAAAAAACAGCGCTGCCAGACAGACTTGCATTAGGTAGAGGCCAGCCAAGAGATGCTTGAGTGCTTTAGGATAGAAGAGGCCGCCGTGATCGTGTTCAGTAAGGAGTATCCTCGAATGGGAGTAGATGACCCAGAACAAGCCGATGGTGAGGACCTGGAAGGGGAGGATGATCGGGGAGATGATCGCGTAGAGCAGTCCTGTGTCTTTTAGTGTGAGCTGCATTACCACTTCTGGCGTTTGGACATACCGATGCAAGAGAGGTTTGTGAAGACAGGTACAAAGGTGCCCCACTGGAGATCTGGACCTCTCCTACGTACCACCATCTGCGTGACTGACTTGTCGAACATGGGACCAAGCACGAACTTCCCCAGCAGACGGTCTGTCCGCAGCAGAGAGCCAGCACTTACCGACAGAGCTTGCAAGAGAAGGTAGGAGAGAAAGTAGTTGCTTGCTTTCGGCAGGTTCTTCGCCAGCGTCGCAGCGAGCGAAGCTCCCCGTGCGATCTCGTTCGCGATGGCGGTAAGCCCTGCAGCCAAAGACACGACGAGGGTGACCTGAACAAAGAGGAAGCAGAAGTAGTAGTCTTGGATCTTGAGATCAATCTGGCTCTTGGAGCAGATGCCCTGCTTTCGGACGAGGTACTCTGCCACAAAAACGAACCCTCTCACCAGAACAGCTACCAGCACAGGGGGCAGCACACCTTGCAGCAGGCCTAGGAAAGACTCGGGAAGCTCGCTGATCCAGCTCAGCCAAGACACGGCCTGGGTGATGTAGATGATCTGGGAGAGGAGCCCTGCCAGCGCTACCGGTACGACGCACGCAATCGCCGTGATGAGAATGAGCGCGTTGGAAAGCACGGTGCGTAGGGTCCTATCCCGCCACGTGATATCTGTGTTGCTCCACACCACGTCGCCTACCGACAAAGGCATCGTGCGAGGCGTCATGCAGCTTGCGCTGGTGTGGATCACCGTCTGGCACGCGATGTGGGCAGCGAGTGGATTGGCGAAGGTGACGAAGGCGGACCGCAGGGGCGGAAACTCGCTTCGTGTTTTGCGGTAGAAGTCCATCGTCTCGCCAGTCTCGCGAAGCTCTCCCCGACACAACAGGGCAGTGTCGGCCTTTTCGAATCTCAACCAGGTAAGAAGATTCAAGAGGCGCCGCGATTGGCAGTCTAAGCTCCGACGCGTTTTGGTGGTACTTGACCTTCTAGCCCGCTTCTGTACGCCAGCTCTGAAAGCTTTCCTCAACTTGGCAGTCTCAGCCGCCTCGAGGGCTGCCGCCAGACGTTCCCGCCGCGCTGCCAGCCGGGAAACTGTGCTGTAGTCGCGGTTGAAGGAAACGGCAGTGATCTGGCCAGGGAAGATCTGGAGTCGGGACGTGAGTATCTTCTCAGACATCCAGTCGTCTGGGATAGAGTCAAAGAGCACTGTGCGCAACATCGTGCTAGGTGAGTGCTGCCGAGCTGCGACGTAGAAGCCAAGCTCGCTCCAGATGACCCAGCAAACGTGGGCAGTAAAAAGCAAAGCGAGCACGAGATGAACCCAGTACCGGTCTGCTTGGTCGAGGCCGACGTTGGACCACCCGAGGGCATCGAGCCCGCTCACTCCACGCACAGCCATCTTCCCGTGCGTGTAGTTCAAGGGGACTAGGATCGGCGTTATGAGGAGAGCAGCGGGAGCGAAGATCAGAAGCAGCGACCGCAGGTACCGGCGAAAGAAGTACCTGTCGAGATGTTCGCGGCGGCGCTCGAACCGAAGAAGGTTGGTCGCAATATATTCTCTCCAGGTAGTGGAAGTGCTGTCTAGGTGATCTGGAACAGTAGAGCTGTAGTCGTCAGCACACGACTAGGTAGAATGCTGTGAGCTTACTAGAGATCGGGGAAGCGTTTGCGGATAGCTAGAAACACAAGGACTTCTATTGTGAACATCACCGCAGAGAGGGAGACCGAAGCTATGAACGAGCTCAAGGAAACACCGTGAAGCTGCTGCGCTTTGGCAAACGACTTCCCGAAAGCTTCTTCCATGGTGGCAGTCTGATGTCCAGTTCTCACGATGTGAGTTCTCGCACGTAGCGAATGGATGCAGAACGACGAAGACATCTTCGAACGAGTTCTGTAGCCCACTCTGCTCTCAAAACAGGCTAGCCTGACAAGCACGAGGACTTTGAAGTCTGGTGCTGGCCACGCTAGGCCGGATGGGTTGTGCTGGAGAAAGTGGAGGTCACCCGTCGACGAGCAGGCGCATCCGCAACGGACCGCACTAGCGTGACGGGAGACAGGCGTTAGATTGACAGCATTGGCTTGACAGGCTCTGGCTTCTGTTGGTATTACATATCTTATGTAGCCTGCTTGACTTAGAGCGTCTGCTGTTGAGCCTGCTTGGAGCATCCACCTGTTTACCCTGTCGACATGGTAGTGCCAAACGGCTCTTTGTCTTCTGCCCTAAGCCTGATCAAGGTGCGTGCATACCGATGAACGAAATGTCATAGTTGATACTCATAATGAACCAAAGCGGTTTGCAGATAGTTGGCTGCAAGCAAGCGACGCGATCGACTGCGATGACCTTGCAGCCCTGGTAGATGCGCTTGACTGCTTGAAGAAGGACGCTCAGCAGAAGCTGTCTCTCAAGAAAGCCACCCGAGCAGGCATGACAGCAGATTCGCGGTCTGGGGGCTCAAGTGGCGCTAACCAAGGAGTGCGAAGATCGTCCCGCCTCAAAGCGTCCACTCCTCGGCCGGCTTCCTCAGCCTCGCTCTTCGTCGCCGAACACGAGACGGAGTCGGAGTTTAGTGGTGAAGACGATGAGACACTTCCAGCCGTACTCGATGAGACAAACTCCGGCGACTACACGGGAGTGATGGCAACGGCGCCCTCAGAGATCCTGTTTGGAGATCTTCCATGGCCGAGCGAAACACCGATGGAGACCGTTCACGAGATTGAGGTGGTACAGAGCAGACATGCCTTGGAGCTAGAGCCATCCTCGCCGATGCTCTACAGAGTAACACCCACTGTTCACGAGCAAGATGAACTTACATATGTACAGCCAGCTCGAGTTTATAGCGAGGCTTTGGCTTCTCATCAATCTCATTGGGACAACACCCAGTCTGGAGTAGACATATTCCATCAGACAGCACAAGATGTGCGAACCGACAGAGCACAGTCAGGAGCCGAATCTCCACGTCAAGTCTCGTTACATCAACCATTTTCAGATCCGGCAGAGTCAGACGTATCCGACTCGCCAGCCCGTGACATGGAAGTCGAGAACAGCGACAGCGAAGAGATGGTCATGCAAGATGCATCCACACCACAGTTCTTCAACGAAGCGTTCGAAGACCTGTATGGCAGCCCGTTGCAGCAGGGGTCCCAGATAGGTGGCGAAGAGATCACGGTCGCGTGCCAGAAGCAGTATCCGACTGACCCAACTCACACGCCAAGCTTGAGCGATGATCCGATGTTTCAAAGCTACCTAGATCTTGCTTGCTGTGCGAGCTTTTTCCTTCCACACGAGTCTGTAGAAGACGCAGATAGCACAGAAATCCGAGAGCTTCTTTCACCTCTGGTGGAGGGAACACCTCTCACGCCAAGACTCCTTCACGGCCTGATCTACTCATTGGTTCCGGGTCCACTCCATATACTGGAGGTCGATCCGAGTTCGAGTGATAGGGGAATGATAGCAGAAGAGAGCCTGGCCGAAAACTTTGCCATCATCTTGCGCGAAAGCGAAGAGGCTCTGCCGTTGCTCGTGCTAGGAGCTGCGAATAGGAAGATGCTGTTTGTTCTCAGCAGCGGCACAGCGAACCTTCCGTTTTTGAGCGCATTGTACCGAATGCTCCATGAGTGGAAGACAGAGTATATTATAGTAAAAAAAAAACCCCCCTCGCTGTCTTTGCATCGACTAACTCTCTGCAGCCCCACGATGTCAGCCCACATGTAGAGAGCACGCTTCTGTCTGTCTGGATAGCCGAGGCTTGCTTCCAAGGACGGTCGCTGCAGAATGCTCCGTCTTCTCGAGAACTGCGCCTACGTTTTTTAGAAGAGCTGGTGGCCCCTGTCCAACGCGACTCTGTTCTGGAGCAATATGGCATCTCCAGCAAACTAGCAGTCTCACAACAGATCGACATCAGGCTGGCCGAGACAAGTTCTGAGGTGCAACTGCAACCACAACCGCAGAGCAACGGGGTCTTTGTGTCGAAGATCGAGACTTTCGATCTCGAAGCGCTGCACGAAGCGCTTCTCCAGAAGCCAGCCGACATCTCCCGCGGACGCTGTCTGAGGATCTTGCAGTGTGTGTATGAGATCGGATCGCCATGCATCCTCGACTCACTCAAACCGGCTCTCACTGCAAAACGCGAAAATCAGGCACATCAAGCGATGGAGCAACCCGTTGTCGAGAAGCTCTTCCGCATCCACCTCTACTTGGACAGCCAGGAGAGCGAGAGCCACCTCCTGATCGCCAGAAGTCGATACGTCAAGTACTGCTACTTCGAGACATACCTCCTGGCTGTCGCAGCGCTCCAAAGAGAGAAGCGCAGCAGCAGTCGAGAGAAGCGGAGAATACACGCGCGGAAACTGACCGCCAGCTTCAAGCAGGGCCTCTGTGACGAGCTGCCACCGACGCCACACGACGACGAGATCCATCGCATCTACGAAGATCTCAGTCCCTCCGAGAAGAAGCGGCGGGCTCAGGACATGGTGAAGAATGAGATTTCGAGAAAGGTTGCCAAGGAACACGGGGTCGACGAGAAGCGCGTCCGATGCAACATCAACAGGTACATCAGACAAGGAAGAGTGCTGCACTGTGTTCTGCAAGGCGGGCTATCACTGAATCCAGGGCTGCTTGTCCTATTTCCTGGTTCTGAGACCCATGCGCCTTCTTTGAGCACGGCCGAGTTTGGGGTCGAGCTCTCAGAGCCCGAGGAAAAGAGTCTCAGCAGACCCATTGAGATCAAAGAGTAAGACGCAGTTGCTTCTGTGATGGTAGTGCTACTAGTGACAGCGAACAGTATAGAGGGGTTGACGCAAGCGGAGGCGGTCTGGTTCGGCAAGGTTTTGCAGGCCAGGCCGGGGCTGCTAGAACAGGCGCCCAAGACGGTCCTCGACCTGCTCTCAGATAGCCTGTTCGAGGCGGTAGATCTTCGCGAGCGTGATGCAAGTAGCTTTCGGGACAGGCCGCTTCGTTTCTTTGCGTAATGAGATGCAGCCTGGCCCGACTCGGACTGGCTTGCCATCATGCCGAAGCCTCTGACGCTAGCCAAAGGTATCGGCTGGGTTGTCTCACTACCTATATAGTCCCTCTCTCCTCGAGCAGACAGCAGACACAAGTTTCTCTCTAAGATCTCACACAACCTTCCATCCAATTCAACCACTGCGCTGTCGCCAGACATGTCCCACGTTGCGAACATGAAGACCGAGCCGGAGAGCTGCCCGAACAGCGAAGATCTGTGGTCTTGCTTGGGCGCCATCGATCTCGACCGCCGCAACCTGCTTGTGTTCTGGGAAAGCTCGTGGCACTCGGCAGATGAGTACGATGCCCTCTGTACAGGCGGGAACCGAGGGTGGCTCGTCCATGCGCGAGGCGACGACCAGCTGCTCATCGCCTGGGAACCCACAATCGAAAGCAAGTCAGTCCAGGCCTCTCCTCGCAGCCTTGTGTATGATCCTGTCATAGAAGTCCGGAGAGACCGGCCTGGTCTGCTTGGGTACGTCGCGTCCAAGACCCTGCGCGGCTCTGGAAAAGCAAGAAGCCGTCGCCTTGCTTTCTTGGCCTACTGGAAGGTGGCCCCGATGACCAGAGGGCTCTTTTTCTATCTACAAAAAACCTTTTCCAGCCACAGAGGTTGCATCGTGCACGCCGAGAAAGACAGAGTTTGGGTACAGTGGGAGCCGACATGGGTGTTGTACGACGACCTGAGCGAGGTGAAGAAGAAGCAGCTCTTAAAAGTATGCCATGATCCTGAAGCACTCTTACGCCGCTTCCACAGGACGGTTGTGCACTACTCTACGCGCCTAGCGGTCGAGAAGCGAATTGGGTAGAGACAAATAGGCCAAAGAATAGAATTTACAGTGTCGCTGTCTTGATTTGTGTGTGTTTGCAGGTGAATGTGTTGATGGATAGATGCTGCTTGCAGAAAAACACTCGTTTCCTCGCTGTAGGTTGTCTGCATCAAGGTAGCCCAGCACAGTGTCGCCTGTTGACTATAGTAGCCGAGATCAACAAGTTGTATCTTCACACTCCCCCACTGCTTGCGCTCTGCTACTCCAAAAGGATGCAATCAGGTAAGTTAGGTGTCCATAACGTCGACATCTGTGGCTGAGCTCACTAGAACAGCTTCGATTTCACCGAAGAAACGGGTCTTGTATGAACGAGACGCCGTCGAAATAGTCAGTATGCTCCACCTGCAGTAACTACAAAATCAAGACCTGAAGCTCGCAGGAGCCAGCCAGCGCTCTCGAGAATATATTCAACAGCCATCTTGACGTTCGAGCCCCAGACTCCAAGTTCGCAGCCATCTTTGAGCGCTTGAAAGCCAAAGAAGAGCTCTGGGTAAGTTGGCGTCTACAAATCTGCAGTTCTGTCGAGCTCTGCTGATGTTCCGACGTAGATCGGCTACGAGCCGGGAAAAGAGTACTGCCCTATTGCACGCCTGAACTTCAGCAAGTCAAGACAGTATAAGCAGGGTGCTGTAGGCTACTATTACATCTTGAGATACAAGTGTGGAGACCTGAGCAGAGACTTCTGGGTTGTTGCACACCAGACCTGTGTCAAGAGAGCCTGGCATCGATACCTTCGACATCCACGCTCTGGCAGCTGCACGCAGAAAATCATAGCAACAAGCTTCTTCCACGCAGCATACTTGGAGGAGGACGGTTGGTATGCCGTAAGAGCAGTCAATGGCATTGGAAACTACGACAACTATGTAACGATAAGACAACTATAAACTACAGTCACGCGCATAGCACATCGTCTTGATATCACGTGTTCCTGCTGTGTTCGGATATTACGCACACCAGGTCACCTATTCCGAGCCAGGGTCTACCGAGCCAAGCAGCATTGTGCGCACATACTTACCAGTCACGGCTACTGGAGAGATGCTAGCGGGTAGCTCTATATACTTACAAAAGCCCCCGTTGCTGTAGCTGCGGTGGCTTAGTCTGCGCCAGACATCGCCATCTCCCGTATCAGGCAGACTGGCAAAGCAGATGCCATGAGCATGTGTCCCTTGCGACTTACTGCTCTTCTTGTCCTTTCGGGTGGTCTTGTGAGCCTCCGCGCTTGCGCTCGAGAGGCGGTCGATGTGCGCTTGCGGTACTGTGCCTTTGACGACGATGATGCTGACCTTTGAGCCAAGCCCACCTCGAGCAGACTCCTTGACATCAGTCAGTGCCTGAAGTGCGACATTGGCCAAGGCAATGCCAGTTCCCGCGTCATAAGATGTCTTCATAAGGTTCTCGTAGTTGTGGACGGCAAAGTCGAGGGGGACGGGTTCCATGTAGCGGGGGAGGAGGTCTCTCGCTTTCTGGCTGATCCTGTCCTTTAGGGCTTCATGAGAACAGTCCTGTACGCAGCTGTAGCTGCTGTAGGCATCTTCGATCGTCTTGGTCATCTCTTCGGTGGCGCTTCTTCTGTGCTGGCTAGGGCGCAGCTCTGGCGAGAGCATCGAATTATCGTGACGGCGGACACTGCTTTCAGCCGGCGTCAGGTTAAAGCGATAGCCTTCGCGTGTCTGCTTGAAGGCGGTGTGCCAGTCCTCTTCTTCAGCGTGCAGGCTGCCGGTGTGTACAAGGTATGCTGTCCATAGCTGGACCCCTTCCTGGAGACTGCTGATGCTGGTGAGCCTCAACAAGGCCTCTGTGTCTCTAGCGGGATAGCGGAGTGGCCGATTGGGGAAGACCACAGTAGCACTTCTCGGCCTAATGCGATCGAAAACGGACTTGAAGACAACCAGGAGATCGAACTGCAGTTTCCAGTAGTCGGGCAGGTCTTCGTGTAGGAAGATCTGGAAGGCTCTTTCTGCGACCTGCGCCTGGAACTCGCCATCGTCGACCAGGTCCCACAGAGAACCGCTTGTCTGCTTTCGAGCGGTGCCTGGAAGCCGGGTGTGCAGTGACACGTCAGCAGTAGATTCGTGTTCCATCGAAAAGAGCCTAGAGTTGGCACAGCCCATGCTTGGGAAAGCTGACCGGGAAAGAGTGGTTGTTCGCAACGTGAACGTTACAGCGATGCTCAGGCCTTTTGAGCTAACCGATAGCCAACAGGGCAGGACGATTGTGCACGCCTCACAAAGATGTGTGCTAGATTCTGAGAACTATATGGCCCGTCGTTCGCGCTAGCTGTCTCATTCGTGGTCGAGAGGATGGTATAAAACAAAACGCACTATCTACTATTCAATGCAAGCGCAGGTTGAGACGTTCGTCTTCATTATCTTGCGACATCCAGCATGCATCTGATACTTCTCTGGGCCCTCATCTCAACTGCGCTAGTCAGTCCGCATGTGTTCGTCGGAGAACCTGCACCCTTCCAGTGGGATCTCCCAGTGGAAAAGCTGATTATGCCAATGAACGGCGACCCCAACTACGAAGGCCCAGAATGGGGCCAGCAGCCCTTCCCATGCAAGGGTCACCATAGAGTTTCGACTCTTCCAGAGCCTCAGACGACCTGGTATGTCGGAAGCAGGGCCACATTCCAGTATGTCAGCTTGAACCCGAGTGCTCACTCGAAGCGACTCACAACATCCCCACAGGATCTACGACTCGACCAACACAACTGGCTCTAGCATGCACGACCCTGGCGCGGCTCACTCTGGAGGCTCGTGCCAGGCATCGCTTTCTTACGATGGCGGAGAAACGTGGATCGTCGTTCAGAGCTGGGAGGGAAACTGCTTGCGCGTGCGAAAAGGCCAAGAAGGACAACTCACCAATTCTTATGACACCGATCAGAGCTACTCGTTCGACCTGCCTGGTTCGCTCCCAGGGGCAGACACAGCTATCTTTGCGTGGTGAGATCAGCGTCACCAGCTACAAGGCATGGCTGACTCAGCAGGACCTGGCTAAACGCATCCGGCAATCGAGAGTTCTACATGTCGTGCTCGCCCGTAAAGCTGGTAGCATCACAATCTTCGAACAGCCTCGCGTCAGACTATCCGATGTACACCGCCAATCTCCAAGCGAGTCCAGAAACAGCGGGCTCGCAGCATCCGATGTGGTCTCAGTGCTACATTCCGCAGAACGTGTGGATCCGCTACCCCCAACGGTACAAGGGCATCAATGCACCAGTCGTAGCGGAACCGCTCCCAAGCGACAGCCAGGTTCAGTTTCTGCAGCTCGAAGACGATGGCGGAATGTGCGGATCAGACAACAAGGAAAGAGTTGAGGCTCTCGGACTTCACTCTGGTTCGAACAGCCAAGAACCGAGTGCTCCGACCTATACGAGTGAGCTCGCAACAGACCGAGCGTCATCTGAAAGCGGGCATATGTGGTCGGCTACGTGGTCAACCAACTTACCCTCTCCGTCAGACGTGTTGTGGGCTGTGCCATCCACAGAGAGATCGATATGGGCTTTGTGATCTGCATATGCTGCTAATGTGCACTGACTGTGCTATAATCTTAGAGAACAAACATCTTGGCGCTTGTTTTTAGTGCTTGTGAGAGTTTGTCACTGAGAACTTGTGAGCAAAACCTTCTCACTGTTTAGGGCGGGGTATCAACCTAGACCAAGCGTCGGCAAACTCGACAGATTTGGAGAGATGCAAAGAGACTTAAGATTCACTCTCCAGGGGCTCAATCTACAGACAAGTCACCTGTAACATAACAGCATAGGGGGATATTCCAGATCCATGCGATCGCAGAACATGGATATCTCTGCTATCTCGCTGAACGTACGTTTGGAGTGGGTGTCTGGATACCGACAAAATGACAGCTTATTTTCTCAAAGCTATATGAGCATTCTGCTGCTTGCTTGGAAGGATCAAACAACTATCTCCGATACAATGTCTTCCAGTGTTGTGTTTATCCATAACGTACTTTCCGTGCGATAAATGCATTTCTGCCCCCTTACACGCAATTTTGAGCTGGCCTACCAGCAGTCTCTTCTTATTTTTACCTTCTCAACGTAAGGCGTGAACCATTTACATCGCCTTGACCATGTCCTGGTTTATTCGGACAGACCTAGGTGATGTAGACATCTGTGAGACTAACCCAAAATTGGCTGGTGACTGTACTCTGGGTTTCAAAGCATCGTTCCCTGCTGCCTGTGGAATTCTTTTCTAGCATCAATGCGTCTCCGAAATTGGTGCTGTAAGTTACAATATCGTTAGTTTTGTATATCCCTTAAGCAGAGTTGCTCTAGAAACTCGCCACCTTCGCACGACTACAGGGCAAGCGTGCCGCCAGCATGGGCCGTATCGAAGAAGGGAGCCGCTGTTTGGTCTGTGGACAACGCCGGTCCGGCCACACGCGACGCATACAACAGAATCGAGGATTCATAGAGCAGATCTGCTCGAGGCGGACATGCGCCGAAGCTAAACGCCGGCTACAGAACGCTGTTAGCATGAGTAGTAAGGCTGGCAGCCTAGTCATCGAGGTTCACCACTACCACCACGCCAGTCGCATAGATGAAGTTGGCTTCAACCGGACGCACACCTCCTCCTCAGAGCTTCATGCTGAGTCTCTTGCGCAGAGCAGTCGGGTGCTGCCGGTCCGTGGCGGGCCTCCCTTCGTCGAACCGCTTACTAAGCCGTCCGAGGATGTTGTGAGGCAGCGACTCGGCGACAGAGCTTGATAGGCCGTGACTAGGGTTCCCAGGCGTAGACGAGATGTTTTTTGTTCTTAGTCTCCAGAAAAGAATCTACTAAATTAGAAAATCCTTCCACCTGATGAAGTAATAAGCGTATCTCGGGATTGATCCAACCAGACGTGACCGTGATATGAACCCAGTCGAATGGGTTCTTCACCAATATTCCGGCAAGATCCGTGGCCATCCAGCCAAACTCCGACGGCATCACTGCTAGTAAAAGCGAGGCCATCTGCGCTAACGACGAAAGACCCTGCTATGTCTCTCTTGCTAGTACCACTAGAAAGCTAACTCACAACTAAGGACAACATTGGCACGTGCGCGATTATCTGCTTGCGGTTCGCATTCGGATCCACCTGATGACGTTAGCGCGACTATGCGTCTCGAGACATATAACTTACGTCTTGATGCTGACGGCTTGCAGAAGGCTGTAGTTCCTGTGTATGCTGCGATGTCTCTCGTACCAACGACACTCCATATCGACCTAACTTCCGAAGTGGAAAACTGCGTCGTGTGCTCAACAGTCCTCGGAGAAGGGAGCGGGAAGGCGGGCCTTGTGTACGTGTTGAAGGATTGCCGCTGTGTGAGTTGCTTTATCCTGATGTCTTATCGCATTTTTGATAGTGAAAAGGTCATCTGCGGCCTCTGTGTACAGTTTCCTGGTACTCCGCCTTTTCTCCCCTGCCAACACACCGACCACCTGGACTTGGGGTGGCAAAGGCCGCTGCGACTCTACAATCTCAAGTGCGCCATCTGCCTAGATTCAGACGATGCTATACGCATTGCTCTAATATGCGGTACGTTTACGTGCTATGCAGAGGCACTAGCTAACAACTAAGGCCACGTGTTTTGTCGACCCTGCATTCTCCGGTGGGCTAGATTGAACTCCGATTTGCATGAGACCAACTTGGCTTGTCCGAGCTGTAGGAGTAGCAGGACCAAGCTGTGGCGGCTGTCAACACACGATCACGTCGTGATGCCTGCACAGCGAGGTGTGGAGATCGCGTCGCCATGTAGCAGTCTATAGATGTGTGCCCAGATGACTCTGCTTTCCTGTCTGTAGCTCTTGCAAGAACTTTTATGTAGATGGCTGCTTCGATAATGCGAAATATTGTGCAGAGACTAATCTCTTTGTAGTAGAGAAGTGTAGCATGGACTGATGTCTAGTAATTAGAAAAGTGACATTCGACCAAACCATGTTGGCTTTTGCAAACAAGCGTATGATCGACTGGGCACTCCATTTTCTGTTGCTTCTATAGTCTCAGTACGTAGCAGATATACACACGGTTACTTATCTTTGCTATTAGGTTTGTAGGCAAACTACTCTTAGTATTGCAAATGGGTGGATCACTATGGCATACAGACGCATACATAGTCTTGGATACATCTTGTTATTAGTACGCCACTTTCGAATGACACTGTACAGTGTACAGTCAAATCTCCTGTGACTGTTTAATGACAAAAACTTTCAAACCCGACTAAGCTTAGCAATAAACAGGCGATATTATGGCCTCTATTGTACGCTTCACTCAGCGCTGACTTCAGCTCATCTCCCAGTATTGAATTCAATAAACAATACCTGCACTGACATACATCTGGGTCAGCTCAGAAAGCTTAAGTTCGTCGAAGAAAAGGCCTTTCCATGGTTCTGTGAGCTATCGATCCCACTCGTTCTACGCTACAGTATGCATACGATATACGTTTTCCTAGCATTGCTGGCGGTCGCGACTCGAGCCCACATGTCGCTGTGGTATCCGCCCCCTCTAGGTGGCAGTCTGCAAGCAAACCCCTTGACAACGCAGGTGGACAACGAACTCAACTTTCCCATCGGATGCTGTGATTCTGACGGCAGGCCAACACTACCCTCTCCTGGAGACTGTCGTGGCCATCTCAATCTTCTGAACACAGAAGAAGGCCGTCCGCAGGTAACATGGGAACCAGGCCAGGACGCATACTTCCAGCTGTCTGACTACACGTACACCGCTGATGCTCCAGGATCAACGCACTATGGCGGAAGCTGCCAGATCGGCTTCTCTGTGGACAGAGGCCAGACCTGGAAAGTCGCAGCTTCGTACCATGGGAACTGCCCCCACCGACAAGAGAACGATCCCCAGGTCTTCCACTTCAAGGTTCCTCTGAACATGCCAAGCGGGCCAGCTGTCTTTGCTTGGATCTGGCTGAATCGAGAGCACGAGTCTTTTATGAACTGTGCCTCAGTCTAGATTGCTGCAGGCTCTGGCAGAACTACTACATCTGTTGATCCGAGTAGTACGGCTGATTCGATCATGTACTACACAGCACCCGCGACTCCCACGGGTGAAGTTTCGACAGAAAGAGAACGACACGGGTCGGGTGATTGCGATCAAAACTTGACTAGCCGCAACATTTCGGGCGATGCGAGTGTGACTGGAAGTTGGTGGGATCGCACCAAGCATCGCCACAACAGAAAGCACGCTCGATACTACTACTATGTGCGCAAAACTCACACACATCCATCATCTCCAGAGCATCGCCGTGGACCAGAAAGTCTGGCTTCTGATGCTTGCGATTGGAACGCCGCGCCCAGAATGGAAACTAACTACTACTCCGCGGGCGCCAGCTGCGCTCCCGACGCCAAGCTGAACGACGCAGAGAGCGATGACTTTGAGATTGGCTGGAGCGATGCTTGCGGCATCGTTGAGGGGGATGGAGAGTATGCCATTCAGAATGTCGAATGTTAGGCCTGAAGCACGGTAGGTAGCTAGTTTGCGTAGATTGGAGTCATGAGACTTTACCCTGAAGCGACAGTAACGTATAAACAGAGATCAGATTTGGATAGCATGTATTGGGTTTAGGTCAGACACGGCTGCAAGCAGACGTCTTGCTGACTACTGCAAAGACTGCTAATCATTCTCGGCATTTTTGTGATTAATTAGATCCCTTTGTCCGAATGCCTTATTAAGGTGCGTCCCTGAGTGAGGAGACACACTATGTCGCGAGACAGGTTGGCGATTCGGAGCTTCGGCGCCTCTCATCTGCGGGCTTGTAAAGCTGCTCTCAGTCTACTATAATTGTATGGCTGTTGCTCTTTAAGCACATTAGCGTCCGATATAGATTGCCGCTATGTTGGCTGTGGTATCGATCGTTGGGTTGCCGTCGTTAATCAGCTCGATAGCGATACCCCCCTGTTTATTAGTGACTTTTAGGACTACTAAAGCGCTCGGTGGGTTGCGCAGAGAGCGCGACGTAGGAAGATCGGCTTCCTAGGCTCGTTAGATTGCTCCGATGTAGAAGCAAGCATACCGGCAGCCCCGTAGTGCGAAGCAGAAGATCTGTGAAAACGAGCCCGAGCTGGCGGGATACGCTAACATCGCTTAGCATGCATAGGCTTGCATTAGCGCGCTTGTTACCTACTGAATTCGATTGTAATAAATTCAGCGCTATGCCCACCTTGTAGCACCTTAAAATAGATGTGGCGCGCTCTGCTGCTATCCGAGAAGCATTAACTCAACTTAAGAAACACGTCTAAAGTCCTGTTCTCCTACGCGCCTTGTTCCTTTCTAGGTCGATTCAACACGCTCGTTGCATACTGTCTCTAACTGCTACCGTCATCTTGAGACCTTTGGTAAAATACATAAACAAAGCTATTCGGCCCCTAACGCAAGATCATCCTCCAGGTGTTGATGCGCACTTGCATCGAGCAGCGTCTTGACTACCTGCTTGTGGCCTCTGACTGAAGCTGCCTGCAGTGCGTTGCCGTAGTGTCCACCCTGCGCGTTAACCTCGGCGCCCGCGTTGAGCAGCATCTTGACTATCTGCTCGTGGCCTCCCCATGAAGCTGCCTGCAGTGCGTTACCGTACTTTCCACCCTGCGCGTTGACCTCGGCGCCCGCATCGAGCAGCGTCTTGACTATCTGCTCGTGGCCTTCTTGTGAAGCTGCCTGCAGTGCGTTACCGTACTTTCCACCCTGCGCGTTGACCTCGGCGCCCGCATCGAGCAGCGTCTTGACTACCTGCTCGCGGCCTCCGTATGAAGCTGCCTGCAGTGCGTTGCCGAAGTATCCACCCTCCGCGTTAACGTTGGCGCCCGCGTTGAGCAGCATCTTGACTATCTGCTTGTGGCCTCCCCATGAAGCTGCCTGCAGTGCGTTGCCGTACTCTCCACCCTGCGCGTTGATATCGGCGCCCGCATCGAGCAGCGTCTTGACTACCTGCTCGCGGCCTCTAAGTGAAGCTGCCTGCAGTGCGTTACCGAAGTATCCACCCTCCGCGTTAACGTCGGCGCCCGCATCGAGCAGCGTCTTGACTATCTGCTCGTGGCCTTCTTGTGAAGCTGCCTGCAGTGCGTTGCCGTAGTGTCCACCCTGCGCGTTGACCTCGGCGCCCGCATTGAGCAGCGTCTTGACTATCTGCTCGTGGCCTTCTTGTGAAGCTGCCTGCAGTGCGTTGCCGAAGAATCCACCCTGCGCGTTGACCTCGGCGCCCGCGTCAAGCAGCAGTCTTGTAGTCGTACTTAAGCCTAAAAGAGCTGCATAGTAAAGTGGCATAGGTATACTATCGAGATTTTTTTCTAGTTTTAGTTTCTCCTATAGGCGGTCTGGATCATGCAACCAGATCCAATTGAGATATGCAGGCTCTTCCTTAGCTATTAAACTCGCCGCTAGCTGACTGGCTTGTTCTCCCTTGTCCCTTGTCTTTCGAAGGTGGCTACTCTAGAATTCTGCTGAGTACCCCGCAAGTGCAAACACCTGTAGTGTCTCTCTTTCTAATAGTTGCTGGAGCTGCATTAGGTACTTTAAAGAACCTCTTGTTATTGCGCTCTAACATGCGGCCTCTTGCATGCTGTACTGCTTTGCTAACCCTTGCCTGATCCTGTCTGACACAAGGTACTCCTGCACTGAGTAGTGTGCTAGAGCAACGATCTGTTGAGCAGACCCTGATCTTCTGTCCACTTCGTTCGTTGTGATAGTGACTAGACTCGAGCAGATGTCCAGCACTTCCAGCGGATCTTCTAGCACCTCATCACGGTCGAACGCTGGGTCGCGCGCTACGTCGATGGCGACGACTTCGGCGACCTCTTCGACGGACAGCGGCCGCGCAGAGAACGTCAGCCACTGCAGAATGCGCATGGCATACTCAGCATATTCCTCGCTTATTGCAGTAAGAATCCGGTCGTATGTCTGGTCTAGCGTCTGGGGCAGACTAGCAAGAGATTTGCGCAGCATCGCTCGATTGCAACACTTTCCTAGTGTGTCTAGCTGGCATACAGCCCACCGGAACCTACGTTATCGTCAGCTCTAGCTCAACAGAGAACTGAATCAAAACACTTAAATCCCGTGAGCTCCGCCCATTAGCGCGGCCTCGATCTCCTGCCTGACAGAAGCGTCCTTGTTCCATTTTGCCAAGCCCTTGTCGACACGCAGCCTTTGTTGGACGTATCGCTGTATGTCTTGGTCCACTACGTCCCTTTGAAGACATACAGCATCCTCCTCCCTGATGTATTCCTCTAAGGAGCGCTCGATATCCCGCTCTTTCCGGCTAGTCATGAGCAGATGCAGATTGTCAAGCTGCCACTCAGCCACTGCTTCGAGCATGTCCATCAGCTCCGAGCGCTGCGCACACTCATCTAGAGCATCGAGAACAACGTACACGTGCGTGAACTCTTGCGCCGCTTCCTTAATTACTTGTAAAAGCGCATGTGACGATAGCTTCCGTTGCCTATTCTCGCAAGATGAGAACAACGCATCAACGCCCTTAGGTATCACGACCGACCGCTGCACAAGCTGGCAGAGCAGCGAGCGCAGCATGAGCTCCGGATCTTGTTTCTGTGCATCGTTGAAGTTGAAGTAAAAGTACGCCGTTACCATGTTAGTGTCATCATGGCAGTAGTGCAGCAGATTCTCAACAACAGTAGAGCTCAGGATGGTCTTTCCACATCCTGGGATCCCGTACAGCCACAGTCGCGACGCTGCTCTTTTCTTCCAGTCTGTGAACTTTGTGCTTTCTAGCAGCTAGAGACCTGTCTTAGCCTGCCGCTGCTTGTGCGCTTTGTGGTAGTTGGTGGACGGGTCAGGAGCCGAAAGCCAGCTGAAGATTTTGCCAAGCCTCTCCTCCTAGTTTCGGCTGCGAGCATCGGTGTTGTCAACAGGAATACTCGCGACTTGGTCGAAAGACTCTCGTATCTCTTTTTCCAATCGCTTCAGCGCGTTCTCTTTGCCCTCGCTGTAGATCAGGGGTAGATGAATGCCGAATATGCCTAGCAGGCAATAAGCTCCATCTTCTGGGCGTGTCGTCTGGCGGTTATGCGCCCAAGAGAACCGCTCAGCTACGCTAAAGTTGGACACTTCTTTCCCTGACAAAGCCTCGATAGGTATACCTGTGATTTCGTGAATAGTGTCTCTCAAAGACTGCTTGTCCCCCAGCAGATCTCCCTCTTTCGAATAGAACGCCACCGATGCAGGAGCAAGCAGTTCCTGAAGCGTCCAGCCTCTAGTGAACCACTTGCTCTTCCTGAAGGCCGGCTTCCACCTCCGGCTTGATTCACTATCCGCATCAGGGGTGTTGCACTCAACGTCTGGAAGGTATACGTAGCACTTCTTTGCGTTCTGATACCAGCGGAACATAGAGTTGATCGCTTCCTGAAGTTCTTGGCTGTTCGTCTTGTCGATGCAGCAGGTGTCTACCCAAAAATAATCCAGCCCATCGCGCTTAGCTTGCTGAGCGCAGAAGAATATCTTTTGATAGCCCTCCTTGACTTTCGCATCAACTTCCTCCATACTGCTATAGTGCCGAAGGTCCTTAAAGGTTGCCTCCTGCCCACCCCAGGTGTGCGACAGGATCGCATATGAGGGAATCTTGTCTCCGATCAAGTCATCGGTCCATTCGAGCCTCCCCTCGCCAGTAGTGTATAGCAGCCGCATTAGGCTGTGTATCTGTCCGTACGCGCGAGCGGTAGAAGGAAGTCTTGGAGCTTCAATGCAAGCTGACGGAATCGACGGCGCGCGGCGGCTGGCTCGCGTAGGACGTGGAGATCGTAGCTATCGGGTCGTTTCGAATGCTAAGTAACGATTTGCTAAGGTAGAGGTGAGGTAGACTGTCTTGTTGGGTCAGGCTGCGTGTCCTACACCCAGGGCAGGAGGCGCAGCCCGCACGCGCCGTGACGTGAGGCTGGCTGGGCAAGGCTGACAGCGCATGATCGCGCGACAGCCACCGTGCTGCAAACCGAGAAGCAGTCATTGCCTAAAGACGCGGTCTAATAGTGTAGAAAGCGCGAGTTATGGGTCGTTGTTTCCTGTAAGAGGATGTTGGGATGTCTGTGTATCGCGTGCTATTTCGTGCAAGGACACACTGGCTACAGAGAACCTGCGCCGCTAACTATCGTGGGACTCGGAACGCAGCGCAACGACGATAGCGTCAACAATCCAGAACATCTTAAGCAACGCGTTTGTCTAACGCCAGCAAGCAACTCTAACGCGGACAACGAAATACTATGGATGTGCATCATGCTAAAAGCCATGTTGACACAGCCATCGCTTACCCAATCGCAACCTCGAACTAAAGCAAAGGCCAGGGCACCCTCATGCACATCCGCTAGGCCTACTTTGAGAGGCATACGCGACTGGCATAGCGCTGTATTCTTTACGATAAGTTACAGCAGGCGATGAGAACGCCAATGCAGTCTCATGCATGCGAAGCGACGTTAGCGTATCCCGCCAGCTCGGGTTCGTTCCCTAAGATCTCCTGCTTCGCACTACGGGGCTGCCGGCATGCTCGCTCCCACGTCGGAGTGATCTCTCGAGCCTAGACAATTGATCTTCCTTCGTCGCGCTGTCTCTACAGCCCTCCGAGCGCTGAAGTGGTCCTTAAAATCGCCAGTGGACAGGGGGGTGTAGTTGACGAGTTGATTGACGACGGTAACGAACCGATCAATAGCAGGGCCAACATAGCCACGATTTATATCGGACGATAATTATCGTAAGGAGTAATCACCATTTAGTTTTGATAGACTAATAACAGCTTTACAAACCTGCAAATAAGGTAGCGCCGAAGGTCCGAAGTGCAAACTTGTCTCGCGACACGGTGTGTCTCCTCACCTAGGGACGCACCTTAGTTGAGCTTTCCCAACCTCCCGTCAAATTTCGACTTAGCTAATCTGCCAACATCTAATCCAAACAAAATTGCAAATTTGACTGCAAACACGCTCTGTCCAACATGCTCGCGGTGTCTTCCCATTCTTCTCCTCTCCCGCAGGAAGATACGAGCAGTAGTCGCGCAACCCTAATTATAGTGATACTGGCATGCGCGATTGTAGCAACTTCGATGCTGCTTTATCTATTGCATTGGTGTCGCCGGAAGCGCAAAGCGTCTAGCGTTGATGCCAGAGACGACCGAGATAGCATTTCAGGACGGACAACAGAAGGGGAAAGCGTTTGGTAGTCCGGTACTAGATATACTTTGAGATGGTATAGCGCAGCGTATTTGATCCATCTTACACGCAGGACTCCACGACCGCCTCTGTTCCCCAAAAGATTTCTAGTTTCCGGTGATGTATCTAGCCTGGTATGAGCACCGCGTATAGTGACCTGCATGCTCTTGCTAGTGACACCTTCGTGGAGCTTTTTATTCTTCACCTAGTCGCTTGAGTTGTACTGCGCTCGACCAACTGCGCCATTTTGATGTCAAGCTAAGCATAGGGGCTGAAAACTCCAGTCAACGAATAATCACAATATAGTGTGCGAAAGCGAGAAAACGATTTCGATATCTGCTGGCTTCTAAGCCGCTTGCCTGGCCGTTCTGTACTGTACTGCTGAAGGGCAGCGAGACGCGACTCGATAAGCATCACGCCTGCACAAATTGAGGTCGTCCTAAACGTGCATCTAGCAAGAAAGCAGATGCTACAGCATCAGATATCGAGTATATAATGCGGCTCTGTGCTGATGCCTACTGAGTGCATCTACAGGCTCGAGCCAAAACATCTCCTAGCTTCAACATGCGCTTTCTACACGTGTCCGTCCCGAGCGCGCTCTTTGCCAACGCGTTCGCGCAAACAACAATTGTATCGCTCCAGAACAATCGAGTCGAGCAGGCGGGTTGCGCACCAAAGGTAGGACAGCAAAGCACTAGGCGCCCGCGCCCTCCGTTGACAGCCATATACAGCTTCACTTCTGCTCCAACACAGCCTGGCGAGAATGCAGTGCACCAATCACTTCGCCAGATCGCTGTGTCGCTACTGACCGGCTGAATGACGTTGGCTCCATCGCCATCGAGCTAGGCTTGTGTTGCCGCTTCTACAGGTGCGTTCAGTCTCGTGACAGATGCGTGCTCAAGCCCTGACTATCTAGTGATGATGACTGCAACACGCCGCTTATGGATCAAGGAGGCGAAGAGACGTGGTACCCCGGGTTGGAGCAGGTGTCGGACGCCTTTAAAGCGGAGGTGGGCAGCTACATGTGCAACAACGGGACTCTCTCTTCAGACTGCCCCGGGGCCGGGGCAGCGAACGTGAGTATATCTGGAGGCGTAGCAACCCCGACCGCCTCTCAGTAAATGATCTAGAGGTTCGTAATCACAACGTTCAAGCTGCAAGTATGACCAAAGTACACCATAGAGTCGTTAGCAAACAATACACTAGCAGTGCAAGCCTGTACTCTCCACCTGCCAGTCGTGAGCGAGTCTTGCATGTTGCTCGAGCTGTCGTTCATACGGCGTCGCCCCTCTAACGCGAGATCAGGCAATGCCGCAACGTGAGCCTAGCGTCTAGACCCCATCGATGCCTGCTGAGTTGTATCTAACTATCGCTTCAACTTTCGTCGTTTGTCGTTTGTCGGTGCAGCGCTTCCGCTACACGTCGCGCACAAACATGCTTCATCTCTTGCAAAGCTGCTGCCGTAATCGACCGTGATCTCCATGCCGTCCCATATATCTCGTCGTGCGCGAAGCATCAGTCGTGCTCGGCCGGAGATTATCTTCACCGTCATTTCCGCACAAGGGTCGCAGGCATGATTGACCAGTCGAGCCCAGTTGCTCTTCTCTTTGCAATGCAGTCTGCAGGTCGTGCCTACATCCGGCCTCTCAAGCTCGACAGACGTGTAGCTACCGGTGGACCAGTCCAGCGACTTCACCTCACCGACTAGCTCCTGGATGTACTCGCCCTCGGTGAAAGCTAAGCCCCCACTTGAAACCGCCAGAGCTTGGATGCCCCGTCCTTTTGAGCCGTAGTCGACGATGCGGTGACGGTTCTGATGCAGCCCAGCAAGACAGGTGCACTCTTCGATGCCACAGGTGTCGCAGGCACTCGGCGGAGCCCACGTGGGATCCCGGGGCCACTCCCATGGCCAGGACGGTGGTCTAGGCCAGTCATGGTCAGGCGTATACGAGTTGACCTTCGGGTAAGAAACGGGCTGCAGGAGCGCGAGCATCTCAGCTTCCGAGAGACGGTCGAAAGAGGCCACGTTGTCGTACTCGAACGTGAACTCTACATCCTTCTCAAACATATCCTGGATAAAAACACCGACCTGACATCGTGCCTGTAGGAGCGTCCGCTTCTCCGTCGCCAGACGCTGAAAGGCTTCGATACTGCCGTTTGTCATGCTGTAGTAGTGATTGTCAGGGACGTCCGTCAAGGGGAGAAGGCAAAGGAGCCCACGTCCGAAGCCTTGGCAGATTTGGTAGATCTTCGTTGCGCGCTTTACACGTCCCTGTAACTGCTCACGGTCCTTCTTCGTCGCGCTGACGAAGCCCTGCGCTTTCAGCACCTGATTATACACGGAACTGTCGAGACGAATGGCGCCCTGCCGCCGCGAGTCCATCTCGGAAGCGAACGCATACTGCGCAGATTTCATGTGCAGAGCATCTAGCCAGGTGCGGTGCTGAGCAAGACGAATTCTCATGTCAGAGGCGGCAAGCCTCGCGATCTGGTCGTTCGCAACTGGAGCGAGCTCGATCCGAGCCAACTGGGATCTCCATGCGCGGATCAGTGTTATACAGTTGTGCAGAGCTCGTGGGCTAAGGACGGCTTCTAGCAGGCGTTCCTCGATCGGTACAAGCGCCGAAGCTGGGACAGGTGTGCACGACGGTCTGGAGGTGTGAACAGGCCTACTGTTCGCAGGACGGCGAGCCAGCATGGCGTGTCTTTTGTGTTTATTCTGAGCAGTGTCAACCTCCTGCTGTTTCCGCTTGTTTGTTAGCGGAGGCGCCCCATCACCGGAATCCACAACTGGCTCGGCGAAGTCGGGCACGAAGCTTTGACGAGTAAGCACGTTTCTGCCACACTTCCTCTCGCCGCTCTCACACCACATATAGTCGGTTGGATCGTCGGGAGCGTCAGTAAACTCGTAGTTGATAGCTATCGCGAAGTTCATGCCAATGTTTCGGACCTCATGGTAGACACGCCCTGGTAGAGTGACCAAGACGTCTCCCGGTCTTTGACATACCATCTCATAGTTGATACCATTCCTTTCGAGCCATCGAGGTCCTACGATGACGTTGTGGTGCCGCACAAACTGCGAACACGCTCTAGAAGTCGGGAACTGGTCTCTGATGCAGCGCTCGAGCTTCTCAGCACTGCTTCGATGAACGATGATCCAGTGCTTTTCTGCGCCTGCGAGCAGCAGGTTCGCAGACCCAGTATTGCCGTCCTCGACGTGCAACGTTGCAGGTGTGTCGGGTTCACAGCTGACGTACCAGTACGGACGGTTAACGCCAGCAATCTCAGGCCGGCGATTACACTGCGGCCCAGCGTCTAGCAGAGTATTGATGCTGTGATCAGACAGTGGTTCGCAGATCAGATATCGAACGCGGCCGGGAGGTCTTGCTATCCACTCCTCAAAGTCTTCCTTGGGCTGCTGAGAAGCACACGCTTCACTGAAGCCTTCCATGTCGTAAAGGTTGAGCGAAGTGTCTGAAGCGACCTGCGCGTGCAGACAGTTGGCGTCTCCCTGAGCAAGTGCAAAGCCTTTGATCTCGTCCCGGTTCGACGCCTGGGCGCCCCGAAGGAGTTGTGTGAGTTCTGAGGCATCCCAGCGATGCTGCACTTGCAGGATAAGGTATCCGCGCTCGTCGACGTTGTGGCAGCGTAAGGCCTGCCGCGCGTCTTGGATGGCGACAACCATATTCTTCCCTAGCTGTGAAAGCAGGCACGGAAAGCGCAGATTGTAGTCTCCTGTTCTACGCTCTGACAGCCGCCGCTCTGTTGGAGTCTGGTCGACATGTCCCTGCCTAGGTAGTGCTGAGACCTGCTGCTCGTGCGTCTCGCGCTCTTGTATTTCTCGCTCGTGAGTTTCTCGCTCGTGTATCTGCCACTCTTGCGTCTCGGCTTCGCGTTCTTCAGGTTCGTGTCCCTCGACTTCGCGTGTCTCCAGCTCTCCGAGTTTTGTGAGATGCGCTTGCGCTTCCTTGACAATCGCCTTGAACGCCGCCGCGAGATCCGATTTGCAGATCGACTGCTTCGAGGATGCGCTTCTCGGTCTCGGCCTACTGTGAGCGCGTTCGTGGTGAGCTTCTGCCGATTTGACCTCTTCTAGTTGCCGGACAAGCTGTTTAGCAGCCGCTAGTAACGCGTCAATGGACTCGCTATCGGAAGGATGTCGCGCTACCATTGCGAAACAGCAGACGCGGGACTCTCTGTCCTACACTGCAGCGCGCCCACGCAAACGCGTCGTCAGCGCACAGGTCGCAAGAGCTGGTGGTGCAATTGTGATCCGTGCGCAGACTCGGCCTTTGCTTCTGCCGATCGCTCACGTTCGAAACCAAGCGATTAGCCTCACTGATCGTACTGTAACTGTAGCACTTCTACACAAGACATTGCACTGACAGTGCTTTAAGTTAGTATACAATGGCATGTTCTATAGTTCTGAGTTTCAAATTCTCTAATTTATCTATCCTTTTATTATTCTTGACTTTTCAAGGTAAAGCCTGGCCTGACAGATATTTGTGACGGATACACCGCATGAGACACGGGCGGACACATCTGTGTTCGCATCAAAGACCGTTCGCAGACCTTTTTCTCTTTATTCCCCTGAGCAATGTAAACACGGCCGGAGTGCTTGATAGCACAGCCTGACGCAGATCAACCAACACCCTGTGTTCATCTGCATCACTGAAGGCACGGGAACTAGACCCCGTCAATTTTCCATAAACCCAGTGCTGCGCAAGCTTCATGGCTACGTTTTCTGATCTTTCTCGCCAAGACTTGTGGTTTTGTAGCATGTCGTGTGTCTCCTGGATAACTTTCGCCTCTCGATCTCGCGTCTGGACGTATGAGATGCCGGTATCCTCAGGGACCACGGTATGCTCAGCTTCGACTTCGGCTTCGACACTGGTGGTGTGGTAGCTGCTGCTTTGCCTGATGAAAACAAATGCTTCTGCAATAGCAAGATTGGCCTGACACAGGTCCTGAGCGCAGAGCATGAGCGACTGAGGAGGTGCTTTGCTGACCGCTTGTAATGCGGCTTTGAGGGTTGTTAAATCTTCTGCCATAGCAATTAAGGAAGAGCAGTATATGTCTTCTCTGTGTACTTCATGTGTCCAAAAGATGTAGAATTAGTAGATTAATGTATCGTCAAGCTTGAGAGCAGCTACAACTTTGTGAGGCACCAACAAAATGAGGCAGGTCCGGAGCGTCGGGCTGTAGCTTAGTGGATATATACTCGTCCGGCCCCAAGTCCACCTTAGACTTCCTACATCATACCGCAAACAGCACGAAATGTGTCTCGTCATATCCGTTAGCCATATCCATAAGCCTTACAACTCGGAACAGTACTCACCGCCTCTTTCGCGCCGCGATCGCGCCCGAGCGCTTCGACATCAAATCATCTGTCATGTCAGTAGCTGGGTCGATCAGATTGTCACAAGGCCCAAGCTATCTTCTGCACCGCCACCATATTGCCACTGACGAATTCCTCGGCGTATGGATGACTGAGATGAGGGTGCTCTTTTTCTGGAGTGCTTTTCTGCAAGTTGTTATCTTAACGTGTTCCGTACTGTACTGAATCGTTTCTCCGCGTGAACCGGGTTTCATCGACAGCAGATAGGACCGCGCTCTGCCTCTTGTTAAAGCATTCGATGTATTGAGATCAAAAAAATTATGCTGATTGAATCATCTGTGTGGCATCGGTAGGGTTCCAAGAGAATTAGGCACAGCAAAGTCTGGGTTTTGATACAAAATCGACTTTGGGCATTTTGTCTGGCAATCTTACCAGGTGATGTTTTAGCCTTGACGATATTATTGTCAGATGTAACTAAGCCACTGACCCCACTCTATTGAACTAACATGCTACGCATGAACATGACCTCTCAAGAGTTCGTTGGATAAGATACAGCTAACTTTTCGTCACCTGGCGAGACAGAGGATGACACAAATGCTCGTACCAGATAATACTTGATCAAAGGCGCTCTGAAGGTAACCGGGGCTCAAGACTATGCTTACGCTTGATATGCCTTTTTCAATGAGTGCTCACACCAGTGAGTATGCCAGCTAGGTCTAGTAGAGCGACGAAGTCCCCTTGTGGCCAAAGCACACGCAATATTGCGAGATCTCGAGCTAAGAGTGGAGACTTTGGCCAATGTTTCGACAATCTATCCATTGCGCGGAGCCGAAGGGTATTCAGGCTCGTCTCTGTGAGTTGTGTCCGTCCGACTAACGACGGATAGATTGTGGAGGAATAGATAGCTCCAAGGATAATGATGTTCTCGAATTCTCTGGTAAGCATTAGTCTCGAAAAAAGCACTTGACAGGCGAGGTGACTTGCGTATGGAGTGTTTCTACAGGATTACTCAACATTACTGAACTTCTGCTTGTAGTACGATACGTCTCGTATGTGCCGTCGTAACTCGTACCAATACGGTCAAAGGCAATAATGCTTGAAAGAGCACTGTTTACCCAGTCGAGGGCGACTCCAGAGAGCTTTCGCTGACCTGCAGACGGTCTGTCCACCGCAACATTGAAACACTCGCAGTTTCGTATGATTCCCAAATACGGCCGCAACAACTTGACCCTATTATTGTAATATTCTGCTCGTAACGAAGCCATGAGGGGGTCGGTGGATGGAAGCTCTTTGTCTTCCCAGGCCAACTGTGATGGAAGCACCGATCTCCAGTATTCTAGAAACTCAAGCTGGCTGTTCGCAAAGCTCATCAAATGTTCCAGGTCGTCTTCATCAATTCTTCCAGTGGCAGTATTTTCTGTTGGCGCAAGCTTTTGCACTTCGTCAAATGTTTTTCGAAGCAACGCCCTGGTCGCGAGAACCATCGCAGGGCCCTCTTCTGGGCTCTCGCCGGGAAACATGTCGCATCCAGAGGTGCGAACGGGGTCGGCTGAGACAATGCTGAGGCAAGTGTTGATACCACTAAAATAAATGTTAGAACAGTAAACTGATTTCATTGCAGTGACTGACCGTGCCAGATCTTGACATATCCAAAAGCTCCTTTTCGTCTCCTCTGAGAAGGAAGTATTCTGTTTTTGGACAGCCGAAGCATCTCCGGAAAACCTAGCACTACCTCTGATTAGCACAATACGTGAAAGAACGACAACTTACCTTACTGGTTGCAAAGATCTGTGTATATGTGGTAAGCATAACTAACGCTCGCGTAGCTCTTCTGGAGCATCCCAATTTGATTTTCATATAGCGCAGCCAAAGTCATGGCTTGCGCAACGCTTATATCGTATTTTTTACGCTTGCTGGCAAGAATGATTTGGGCGTAGGAGTAATATACAATGCCTGGAAGTACGCCCGAATGCTTTGTACCATCGCTGATGGGCTTACAGCTCCCAAGCGCGAGAAGGAGTAGCACGATAGCGTTTTTCAGACTCGACATGATAGATCCCGTTGTCGCTGCGCTATCGCTGTAATTTTCGATGAACTCTTCGCACATCTTCCATGGCTCTTCAAACATGGGGTGCAAGACATGCACATCTTCGATATATGCCTTGGCAAGCTCGCGCAGCCTTGAGGACGAGAATGACTCCACGTGGATCTCTTGACTAACTCCAAGCGGCTCGAGACGTGAGGCGCCAGCGACAGAAAGTCCCTCAAGGCTTGTGGATGGTACCTTCATGTGGATAGCGATGGCGCGCACTGCACGAAGTGTTTCTGCCAATTTTTTGTCTAGGTTGTCCAAGCTTTGATCTCTCCTAGGAAGAGTTAGTGGTTGGCCATGAATTAGATAATGGTCAGTTGCATACTTTGCTGGTGGCACGCTTTCATACTCGCATAACTTCTCGCTGTCTGTACATGGCTTGCAGGGAGAAGATCCATCGCATCTCTGCTTACGGTTGCGACACGACCTGCAAGCCTGTTGAACTCGAGATTTACGCGGTTGTGTTTCGATATCCTGTAAGAGTGCATAGTCATGTTGCGTGTCGGAATCAGACGGATCGTACATCTCGCTCCAAAGAGAACAAGGGTTGCAACAGAGCTAGAAAACGAATACCAGAGCAATATGACGATAATGTGTGAACAGCAGGTAGTTTGAGTGTGCAGGATCAGGCTGAGAAAGCGGTGGCTTTATCTGAAGAGCAATCACGGCCAAGTGCGGGGAAGTAAATCTATTCAATTGACATGACTAAAGATCTAGAGTAAAAGAGTTTTGTCAGGGCATAGATAGGTGTGGGCACTGACAGAGTAACATATCCCTGCTAAAGCCCTTTACCCAAGCCTTCAGCTGGCGTACATTCACACATCGAGGGGCCTGCCCCTCGTGCAGCATTTCTGTATCGCCTGGACTTTAGTTCTAGCTTGTGAAATGCGTAGGAGACTGTAAAACTATACATTTGTTGCTTATCCTAGTCAAAATATGTGCTAAAGTTACAACTAAGTACGGAAAAACCGTAGCCATAGTGCTTCCTCTTGGAGAGAAAATACTTGTTGAGTCGAAGCTCTAACTACCAGCTCTGACAATTGCACACATCACAGCAGTAATATCTTACTATGCGCTAGATGTCAATCGTATGCGGTGTAGACTAGCAACGTTACGTATAAGAACGATCGCTGATTGTCGTCCCGCACGTTTACGTCAAGACCGACTGCTTTGCCATCGTGTGCTCTATAATCTCTGCGAACCTGGAAACAAGGCACCTTTTCTATTTTTGTTTGACTGAGTAGCTCTAGGATGCTTCGGACGGAGATCGTGGGTTCTGGTAACATGTATCTGGAAGACCTTTGCACAAAATGGTATATAATCAACACTGGTGATAGAACACGCTCTACTTATCAAAATTACTTAATGAAACCACAAGATACTCTATACAAGTACAACAGACTTAACGTACGCCTGTAGAATTGGAGGGCACAGTTCGAGCGGAAGCGCTTCGCCTTCTTTGATCTGCAACCCCTCCTCCGGTACAAGGCCACGATAAACAGGATCCCGAATGTCCATGCGCTTCTGCTCAAGCTGCGACAATTGATCAAAGACCGAATCTCCAATAATAGCCCGTAATTGCCTCGCAATACGCTCGTACTCAACAAGTGCGCCAAAATCCACTCTTTGCAGGAGGCGAACACTGTCCGACCGGGTCAGGACAATCACTTGACAGCCATAAACGCCCTCACAAGTTGAGTAAAACGAGCCGACAGCAACAACTCCGGTAATCTGATCAGAAAGAGAAGCGTTTGCAATACGATTTGCATGCTTCGGAATAGTCTGTGTTGGCGCGAGCATGTCGGCTGAAGCATACTTGGGTACAAACAGGTTTGCGGTAGATATCCGATACTCCATACCTCCCTTCGAGTCGGTTGGCTCTTCGTAGGTGTTCGTATCGGTGTTTGACCGATGACTGGTATCTGGGACAATAGCCTCTTTCGATGGATGATGAGAAGATCGTCGCAAGTTTGGTCCTCGATACCGAGCCGATGAGTTCCTATGACTACGCCTTCTCTGGGTTGGGAGACATGAGAAGAAACATAATCCCAACCACTTGGACACGTTGCCGAAGCTGGATTGTGCGAATTTGGATGCCGTATTGATGAATGGATATTTCCGGGCGTTCACCGCGACTGCATTCGGAACCGGTTTGCAGCATCTCCCATCGAGCTCGGTAATCTTCTTGACTGTATCTTCGTACACCTTCGTACGTTGAAACTCTTTTCTCAAGAAGCTCTCCGTGGTAAAGGTCTCGTCTTCATCTACTCGTTTTACTGCGGAGTTTGGTCCAAGGAATTGCGAAACAGTCACCCGAACACAGTGCGTGCCGTCCTTGCACCAAACCTTATGTAAAGTTTTGATGTCTGGAACTGGGTCTTGCCAACGCTTTGGTTCTATACAGATATGATCAATGGGGTCTTTATGTTCCGTTCGTAAGTGGCGCTTATATGGCTCGTGGCAGCGGAAGCCATAGCGCTTTGAGCAATGGTGGCATTGGAATGTTCCGTCTGCTACAAAATGTTAGCTTCTACGAACACTGAGATCATGATAGGGTTTCGAGAAGAGCAACTTACAATCTGGGCAAAGAACGAGCTTCCCTTCGCATGATCGCTGGTCTGGAAGATTGGGCTAAAAGGTCAGTTTCCATGCTGCCCTTTGAAGTTTACGTTGAAATTTAGTAGTAAGCAACATACCTGAGACGCAGCCACAGCATTCTGAGCCATTTTGCCACTAGTTTGGGTTCGAAAGAAAGCGATCGGTGAAGGACGCAAAGGCGGTGAAGCATAGCACTGGAGGACGTCCTAGCCTCACAGGAAAAGTGCATGATATATGCGTATCTCAGCCACCTGATCGTTAGTCTGCTTCCAAGATCCCCCTTTCAGCAAAGCAATATCAGTAGATACGACGCCACGTACGCGACAGAGCCCCGCTATTCTGGTAAGATCTCGGACACAACTTGTCGCGATAAGGGAGGTGCTTCCCGTGCACAATGCCATCTTCTCATGGGGGTACTACTGATCAATTTGCGCCCCAAGGTTTGCATGAGACGCTTCCTGAAAACAGGGCTTAGCACAGTTGATCTCAGGCACACTGCGTAAGTGATCCCTGATGCCCACAGGATATCCCCAGCTGAAGAGCGCAAGAGACCCGCATGCGGCCGCTCGGAGCTTTCCTTTGCATACTATCATCCTTGCATCATGCAACAGATATGTTTTCACGACAGAGGTGACAAGCGGGACGATAGTACACCGTGCCAAGCCCACGAAGCGATTGGCTGCACAGATTGAGTTTTGGATTTGTATTGCGCTTTACGGTAAAGCCTGTGTAGGGTAGAGCTCGTAAAAATGCAGCTCGGTTGGGATGCAAGCGGTCCGCGAATTGATCCTTGTCGAACTTGAGGTACCAGACCCGCCATGTCCCAAAGTAGTTTAGGTTTCAACAGGAGAATCTCCTCTTGAAACCTAAACTCCTTTGATGTCTCTCTTCGCCATTGCACCAGCGATTCCAAGTGCTTTCTCAGAAATGGTGTCCCACGAGACAGGTTTGGAGAATCTCCTGGAGCTGTATAAACCATCTGATATCATAAAGGACCCTGTAAGTAAGACACTCGTGAAGAAGTGATGCCAAGTAGCTTACCTGAGATTAGACTTTACTATTGTCCTTCCGCCGATTCTTTCAGCGAGGGACTCGTGTTGAGTGTTGCGAGCTGTTACCGGAAGGCTTTGAGCCCTCGAGCGGATTCGCATGCGCCCGAAATCCCCTAGTCCCATGCCAAGCTTCCATTGGAGGAGCTACACCACAACCACATTCGCCACCTCATGCCTGCTTATCACAGGAGATCACCAAGCCTAGCAGTGTTGCTGACACGCATCCGACCTATGTTTCCAAAGTACCAAGGTCCCCGGACCCCTTAAAGCGGTACTTTGAGACTCTCCACATAGCCGAAAAGCGCAAGAATAGATTGTATAGGGTCGCCCAACGCATTGCTAAGAGTGAGACATGCGGAGAACTTCACGAAATCAACCCCTTTAAACCTTCTGTACAGAGAGATCCTTTCGCGACGGCAAAGGAGATGTTTCAGGTATTAGTAGGATCTTCGAAAACAGCCGTCGCTTTATGGAATCGTGTCTATTACGTTTACTTCGCCGATGCTGTGGATCGGTATGGAATGTCACTTTCAAACTCTTCCGTGGGACGAAGCATGAAATCGCTTGCCCTCGACAAACTAGCTAAGGATCTCGAGGTGACAAGGACAAACGTAGTCAGCATGTACACAACGGGGTGCAAGTACCTCACGTGTATGGAGACAGGAGGTCCGGGGTCTTTGCTGTCCATTGATGGCGCAAAGTCAGAGTGAGCAAAACTACAGGCACCTTTTGGCGCAAACTAATACTAAACAGTATTGAAAAATGTAACGACGAAGATTTCGAGATTTTATTTAAATATCGGAAAACTTTACATCCAGATCTGGAGGAGCGATCCAGGTGTCTCGATTTCGAGATCATACAGAAACTTGTCTGTGGTCTCAGGACTCAAGGTGTGGGTAACGCCGATATTGCGACAGGCAGCACGAGGTTGATAAGGATGATCTGCGAATACGTTGATGCTGGGGAGATCCTCAGTCATGGCAAGATAGTCTCGATCAAGCGCTGTGGAGAAAGGGAGTGCCACGACACGAGTTACATCTCTTCTAGGCGTAGCAGTCCATCACAATCACCGCAAGTTGAAGGACACACCAGTTTCAATGGAGAGAAGGATGTCTCATTCAGTCCGGGATCTAGGGAGCAACGAATAGACCTTCGTCAGCTCCCCCTGCCGACGAAGGATTTCATGTCCGTTGACCAAACTTACGGTAACAGTTCTGTAATAACGGACGGTGTCAAGGTTGGCGAACAGCAGCTCTCATTGCCCCAGCTACTTTCCACGGCTAGTAAGAGCAACCTAGACCCAAGAGGCATAGGGCTCCGGCTCCTTCGTAACTCTGCGGAAGCTGAGAGATATGATGCGATGGCAGATCACTCAAGTAAACGCCGCAGGCTGGACGGTGATCGTTCAGATCGTGACGTTGATAGAGGAGACATTACTCCAGACGTGGTGTCTTTGCGACAAGATCTACAGGAAAGGAGTACACAATTGGATGCTCAGAATTTCTCTACGGACATAGACGAATGGTTACAAGAATTTGGAAATATTGATTCCTCAAACGGGATGGATTTCGTCGTACAGTTGCTTCAGACATGGTGAATGTCATATACAACCTCCAGCGGTCTCAGCATCATTCAAGGGTGATAAAGGGAAAATAAGAAGCTGGAACTCTACTGGATCTGGTTCAAAGCAGACGTTCGGCATTATCAGATGCATGCCTGGCATAAGCTTCGTTACGGTCAAAGAACCTTCTTGATCTCTTGGCCAAGATTTCAGCTTCGCCTCTTTGAGTGCCGAGGGGCTTCCTATTGCTTTAAGAAGGCCTACATGATCTGCTTTGATACGAAGAGATCCAGATGTGCGGAGGAGAAATTCGGGCATTTTGACAGGAGTTTGTACAGTTGCCCACCTGACAGCAGCTTGGATTTCGGCTTTCTTAATACTATGCATTAGAACCTTGGACTTCTCAGCTTGTCGTATACGTACTTTGGCATATATCTCTTGGATCATTTCAGCGCATTCATCTCGCGGTAAATCGTGGGTGAACAAAGTCGTGGTCGTTTCAGGTACCGGCACACGTCTTCTTCCATGCAAGACTAACGAAGCAGCAATTTCATCCAGCCGAGACGTTGAATTGAGAACAACATGTGTAGGCATTTGGTTAAGGACTAGAAGAATGTTTTTGATGTAGCGAGTCTGTGAGCCAAAGATCGAGAAAGGAGTGTGAGGTTGCGGGTCAGGTTTGGATGACAGGGTGGGGCTTGACAGACTGATACATCACGCTGTTCGTATCACACGGGGTGCTAAGCGCTAGGCCGCTATCGGCAAGATATCTCCATTTCGATTACATAAGCCAACACATTTTCTATCACCACGGTACCTGCTGCCAAAAGCCGAATATTTTCTCTTCGGTCTCAACGGCTGTTGAAAGTATCCAAACCCAACCTGCGCTTTTCCTCCGCAGTGGCGTCACGCATAACATTGTTGATGTCTGTTGGGTTTGGTTGAGTGTTACGCGTGCTGGTGTTCGCTGCAGCTTGGTCGTTGCGCGTGCCATTGATTGATGTACTATTCTGGTGGTCCTGCTGATTTGCGGAGTCCGTGTTGTTTGACGGCGTAGACATGATAGCTCAGCTCCAAGAGGCTGCAGAGACTTAGGCGCGTGCTTGAAAGGTTGCAGTTGCTCTTACATATTTGAGGTATAAGGGACAGGAAGTCTCAAACAAACACTGGTTAGCAATTGGTCATATCATTCCTCCTGCAGTCAAAAGTACGTCTAGGGAATTTAAACTTACAGCAGATGCTGCGAGTGCCGCGAATATATGGGACGCAATTTGTACTTTGAAAGTTTTCAGAATAACGCGGGAACAACAGGCTGAGCAAAGGGAACCTGCTAAAAAAGACGAGGGAGGATGGCTCTGAGATATTGATGCAAAATATATTGACTTCAGTCTTTTATGCTAATATCTAAGCCCTCGTCCACGATCCATGCTCCTCTAATCACCCGCGTCTACGTTCATTGTCTGTGCTGATACCCTTTACGCCGTCTGCAGAAGCGACAAGTAAGTGGCATGTACTTGGAACACACCCGTGTTCATGTAGTTACGTCTCCAATGTAGCTATCTACGCATGTGGCGAGGTCAATTGACTAGGCGATTCCTGGCGTAGGAGATAGAAGCGAGCCTTCCTGCATTCTTACACTTGTGCCATCGTGAGCTATTTCCGCAGAAGTGAGTAGGCATCCTGGTATACCCGAAGAAACCACCGACAGTATTTGGTTAGCATAGCTGCATAATTGGATTTGATCAAACAACATGGCTTGCCATCCAGCATTAGATATATCTCCTTCGAGATGTAGCTAGTGATCTTGCGCAGAATCCTGACATGCATAATTTTACAATATCACAATGTCACAATGTTACAATGTTACAATGTTACAATGTTACAATGTTACAATCCAATCAAGTGGCAGTTTTCTTGTCCAGCGCAGAACGCACGGTTCTTCGCTGACCTAACCGAGAGACCACATTGCAAAACCTAATTACTGCTTTCAACAACCCTGGAATGATTAGCCATCGCCTGCAATCCACAGAACGAACGCGCAATACAATGAGTGCGCTTGATTGTTGATATGCGAGCTTGCAGTTGTGCACATAAAAGCACATTTTTCTGGTTAAGCGTGCCCAAAGGCAGCCGTGCCCGAAAGGGTCTTGTGCCCCACCATCCCCGCGTGCCGCTCAAACTGTCATCAGACAGCGCATCAGCTCCGCCTCACAACCACCACGATTACCACGAGAAACTCAGTTGTCGTCTCGATCAAAAAACTCTCACATATATAGGAAGCATTACGAGATCACCACCTCGCGCCTCGAAAAGGACTGACTTGCTTACGACGACCTCGTGACGGCTTTAATTACATCCTTACGTCCAAAATATCTCATGGTATGTGGGAGGTCGTTGCCTCTTACTCGACTAACCGGTAGATAGGGATTCCAAGACGAAGAATTCGACGAAACAGACGAAACGAACGTACATTTCGAAAATGCTTCGACAACTCCCCACCGCATACATGGTATAGGCGCGATGGTATATTGGCGAGATTGTGATGTCACACTCATGGAGTTTATCGACGGGGAGCTCAAATTCGTGAGAAAAATCCAACGGCGGACAGGAAAAGGGAGACTAGATGCTGGCGAAACGCTAGTATTTATGGGTGAAGGAGGGAAAGTCAAAACAGGCTGATGTTGCAGACTTTACGCATTCCGTTCACTTAAATAGGGCGTCCTTTAGTCGGAACGCTTCGTCAAGCCCCAAGTTTAGGTTCAGGATCCCATCATACTCGCAATTGCTCGGCAGTCGTAGGGTAACACAGTTTGTCGCAAGCTTTCCCTGCCTGACTTCGTCTTTTCGCAAGGGACTCTTTTTCAATGCCAGGCTTGGCTCAGAACCGAGTAGTTTCTCTATCGCCTTCTCTTTACCTCCTTGCAAGACCACCTCGTTTTGAGGAAGGACTCTCACGCCGTTTTCTAGAATGAGGTACCAGAGTCCTGCGTCTGACTCTACATGTACGCCAAACAACTCGGTCGCAAGATACTGAACCTTGTTTGGTAGGATAGACAAGCTCATCAAGCACTCAACCTTTGGGCCAGACAGCTGAGCTGGGAATGCCATCGTCACTGAAGCTGTATCCCCTGAATTTCTTATGGCACCACAAGCGTACTGAGGGAAAATGCCAGCAAGTCGTCTCGCTGGAGGATTAGAGACCGTCTGTTGACCGCTCAGCCTTGCAGGGTCGTTCTCGGGTATCTCATCTGGGATCGGATCGAATATTGTATGTCCAGTGTCCGAATGGTTGTCCAAGGGCGGCTCAAAAGCGGAGTTTGATCCCGTCTGGCAAGTCGTTCGTAGCCTATCATGTGCATCATTCGAGAAGCGCTCAATCGTCGGCGTGGTTTCTGATGACATATCAAGCAATGTATTGGCATTGCCTACTATCAGGTTTAGTTATCTTGACGTTATAATGATTGCATGCGTAACTTACAGCGGCGTTTCTTTGTCCTTGGCAAATTCTCTAATTCGTGTTGGACTGTAGGATGAGGGGTAATTTTCGTAACGTCGTCTGCTACCCTCTTCCGGTCTTCAACGGATAACTCTTCCAAAGCCGCGATTGACTTTTGGGCAGCGCTTTGCCCTCGGTGATGACGGCTACTGCCGTTGGTGGCAAGAAAATAGGCCAGCCAGGCCTGGAAACTCGCGTTAAGAAAGATAGTTGCTGTAGTATGTTGCGGCGCGCAACGTGCTTGTTCCAAGGCCTCTTGGAATCCATTAGGCGTTCTTTGATATGACCATTCGTTGGTCAATTGTCCCATCAACACTGTCGTGGAAACGTGTTGTTTGTCACCAATTTCAGCCTGTATAGGGCCTGTCATGTTGCGCGCGGAGTAAATTTACATCAGAAATCATCTAGCGGGGGCAGTAAGATTAAGTTTTCTACTGCAGTAGACGCTAATGGTTTGAGCGCGTGCGAGCGACTCGCATACCTCCTTAAGCGCTATGGCTTCTATATTCGGAATAGCTAGCTGCGCGTTACATTTGATTACAATAAAGCTGCCGTGGAGATCTGCAGACTAAGCGAGAAGCGATGCCATGGCAAGCCACATCCTTGGTGTTTCTTTTCTTGCACGTCCCACGTCGATGGGGCCTTTCCGGATGGGGCGGGTGGTCTTGCGCCGTGGCAGCATGGTCGGATAGTAGGCTTGGTCTTGATATACGGCACAGCATGATCACCCCAAGACAAATCAGGTCTCTTTTACAGGATGCGTCTCGTGTTACATAGTTCATCATACGTATAGATATATATGCTTCTTGTGCTTTTGGCCGAACGTGGATCATCGTTATCAACTGATCAGATTCCAGAAATTGCGACACTACTGTAGACATCTAGCGAGTAACGTCTACCATCACCCTAATTACAATCGCCACCTGCTTACACCTAACCATTACTTCGCTGCGGCTATACCTTCCTTCATGAAAAAAAAAAGTTCATTCGAAACCAAGCACTCAATTTCACCATCCGATATGTAGGCTTGTGTTCAATGTGCAAGAAGTTTTATCACGGCTGACAGATATAGACGCATTTCGAAGACACGACGAAGGAATGTCGGCTAGTTCTGGATCGAAAGGAGTTTGCGGCGTATGCGGCCATGCCAATAATGAGCACAACTCCTATACATGTGAGGCTCGGGGATGCCGAAAGAAGTTCAAGGTTTGCCAAACAGGCAGTCATCAAGATGCAAGGAACGGTACTTATGTGCTTTGCAAGGGGTGTCCCGACCATCCATACGAATGCAGCATGTTCGATGCACAAAATATACAGCGTCTGTATTGACTGACAAAAATGATTGACTTTATCACTTGAGAGCAAGAACTGTACCACTAGCTTGCAGCCTACACGTTGTAAGGTGCGTCCCTAAGTGCAGAGACACACTGTGTCCCGAGACAGGTTCACGCTACGGACGTCCGGAAATGCTCCTTCTTGATCCTGCCAAGATGCAAATAGCACTTGATCACTCTCCAGCCACTATTCCCTAAGTCTACTCAGCTCCGATACAGATTGCTGTGGTGTTGGCTAGGCTATTAATCGTTACGTTAACGTCGTCAATGGGCTCTTTAACGACACCCCCCTGCCCATTAACGATTATACAAAGCAATCAACCACTCGGAGGGCTGTAAAGAGAGCACAAGTAAGGAAGATCGATTCCTTCAGCTCGTGATCTTATTTCAGGTTAGGACCGAGCATGCCGGAAGCTCCGTTGCGTGAAGCAGGCGATCTGTGAAAACAAGCCCGAGCTAACACGACGCGCTAGTGTCTCTTAGCATGCAAGGGCCTGTATTAGCACGCTTGTCGCCCACTGTATTCTACTGTAATAAATTCAGCGCTATGCCTACCCTGTAGCATCTCGAAATAGATGTGGCGCACGCCGCTGAACTACTACACGCATCTAGAAGCACGTGCGTAGTCTTATTCTCTTACGCGCTATGTTCCTTTCTAGCTCTACTTAAAATGCTCACTGCGTACTGTCCCTAACTGCTGCTATCATCTCAAGACCCTCGGTAGGATACATGAACAAAGTTTTCGGGCATTGACGCAAGGTCATTCTCTTGATATTAATGCGCACCTGCCTCGAGCAGCGTCTTGGCTACCTGCTGGTGACCTCTGTATGAAGCTGCCTGCAGTGCGTTGCTGTAGCGTCCACCCTGCGCGTTAACATCGGCGCCCGCGTTGAGCAGCGTCTTAACTATCTGCTCGTGGCCTCTGTATGAAGCTGTCTGCAGTGCGTTGCTGTACTCTCCACCCTGCGCGTTAACATCGGCGCCCGCGTTGAGCAGCGTCTTAACTACCTGCTCGTAACCTTCAAGTGAAGCTGCCTGCAGTGCGTTGCCATACTCTCCACCCTGCGCGTTAACATCGGCGCCCGCGTTGAGCAGCGTCTTGACTACCTGCTCGTGGCCTTCTTCTGAAGCTGCCTGCAGTGCGTTGCCGTACTCTCCACCCTGCGCGTTGGCATTGGCGCCCGCGTTAAGCAGCGTCTTGACTACCTGCTCGTGGCCTCTGTATGAAGCTGTCTGCAGTGCGTTGCTGTACTCTCCACCCTGCGCGTTAACATCGGCGCCCGCGTTGAGCAGCGTCTTGACTACCTGCTCGTGGCCTTCTTCTGAAGCTGCCTGCAGTGCGTTACCGTACTCTCCACCCTGCGCGTTGACGTCGGCGCCCGCGTCGAGCAGCAGTCTTGTAGTCGTACTTAAGCCTAATAGAGCTGCATAGTAAAGTGGCATAGGTATACTATCGAGATTTTTTTCTAGTTTTAGTTTCTCCTATGGGCGATCTGGATCATGCAACTAGATCCAATTGAGATATGCAGGCTCTTCCTTGGCCATTAAACTCGCCGCCAGCTGACTGGCTTGTTCTCCCTCGTCTGCTGTCTTTCGAAGGTGGCTGCTCTAAAATTCTGCTGAGTACCTCGCAAGCGCAAACATCTGTAGTGTCTCTTCTTCTAATAGTTGCCGGAACTGCATTAGGTACTTTAGAGAACCTCTCGTTATTGCACTCTGACATTCAGCCTCTTGCATGCTGTACTGTTTTGCTGACCCTTGCCTGATCCTGTCTGACACAAGGTACTCCTGCACTGAGTAGTGTGCCAGAGCAACGATCCGTTAAGCAGACCCTGACCTTCTGTCCACTTCGTTCGTTGTGATAGTAACTAGACTTGAGCAGATATCCAGCACTTCTAACGGATCTTCTAGCACCTCATCACGGTCGAACGCTGGGTCGCGCGCTACGTCGATGGCGACGACTTCGGCGACCTCTTCGACGGACAGCGGCCGCGCAGAGAACGTCAGCCACTGTAGGATACGCATTGCATACTCAGCATATTCCTCGCCTATCGCGGTAAGAATGCGGTCGTATGTCTGGTCTAGCGTCCGCGGCAGACTAGCAAGAGATTTGCGCAGCATCGCTCGATTGCAGCACTTTCCTAGTGTGTCCAGCTGGCATACAGCCCATCGAAACCTACGCTATCGTCAGCTATGGCTCTGCGGGGGACTGGTGAAAACACCTACATTCCGCAAGCTCCGCGCATTAGTGCAGCCTCAATCTCCTGCCTGACAGCAGCGTCCTTGTTCCATTTCGCCAAGCCCTTGTCGACAAGCAGCCTTTGTTGGACGTATCGCTGTATGTCTTGATCTACTGCGTCCCTCTGGAGACACACAGCGTCCTGTTCCTTAATGTAGCCCTCCAAAGACCTCTCGATGTCCCGCTCTTTGCGGCTAGTCATGAGCAGATGCAGGTTGTCAAGCTGCCACTCAGCCACTGTTTCGAGCATGTCCATCAGCTCCGAGCGCTGCGCACACTCATCTAGAGCATCGAGAACAACGTACACGTGGGTGAATTCTTGCGCCGCTTCCTTAATTACTTGTAAAAGCGCATGCGACGATGGCTTCCGTTGCCCGTTCTCGCAAGATGAGAACAACACGTCAACGCCTTTGGGTATCACGACCGAACGCTGCACGAGCTGGCATAGCAGCGAGCGCAGCATGAGCTCCGGATCCTGCTTCTGTGTATCGTTGAAGTTAAAGTAGAAGTACGCCGTCACTATGCTAGTGTCATCATAGCAGTGCTGCAGCAGATGCTCGATGATGGTAGAACTCAGGATAGTCTTTCCACATCCTGGGATCCCGTACAGCCACAGTCGCGATGCTGCACTCTTCTTCCATCTCATGAACTGCTCGCCCTCTAGCAGCCAGAGACCTGTCTCAGCCTGCCGCTGCTTGTGCGCTTTGTGGTAGTTGGTAGACGGGTCGGGCGCTGAAAGCCAGCTGCGTATCTTGCCAAGCTTCTCTTCTTGGCCTTGACTGCGGCCCTTATGTTTCAGAATAGCCGCGCTTCTCAGCCGTTCAAGGGCGTTGTCTTTGCCTTCGCCATAGATCAGCGGTAGGTGGACGCCGAATATGCCAAACAGACAATACGCTCCATCTTCTTCCTCTGTTGTCTGTCGATTCGCTGCCCACGAGAAACGTTCAGCAACGTCGAACCCGGACAAGTCGCTTCCGGACAGAGCCTCGATAGGTATGCCTGTAACCTCGTGTATAAGGTGCTGGAGCGACTCCTTGTCCCCTAGCCGCTCTCCCTCTCCAGAGAAGAACTCAACAGAGCGAGGAGCAAGAAGCTCCTGAAGCGTCCAGCCCCGCTTAAACCACCTGCTCTGCTTCAACGCCGGCTTGCTATCGATTTCTGAAGTGTCGTTCGCGACGTCCGAAAGGAAGACATAACATCTTTTGGCATTCTGGTACCATCGGAACATGGAGTTGATCGCTCTCGACAGTTCCGTATTGTTTGCTTTGTCGATGCAGCAGGTGTCGACCCAGAAGTAGTCTAGACCATCCCGTTTAGCCTGTTGCGCGCAGAAGCGAATCTTCCGATATCCCTCTTTGCGTTGTGTGTTGACGTCTACTGCATTGTCTAGATCTTTCAGATCAGCAAATGTCACCTCCTGCCCCTCCTTCCAAGTGTGCGACAGGATCGCGTATGGGGGAATCTTGTCTCCGATCAGGTCCTCAGTCCACCCAAGTCTCCCATCGCCTATTGTGTGTAGCAATCGCATCGGGCTGTGTGTTTGTCCGTATGCGCGAGTGGTGGGAGGAAGTCTTGGGCCTTGAAGCAGGCTGATGGAATCGACGGCGCACGGCGGCTCGCTCGCGTATGGCGTGGAGATCGTAGTTGTCAGGGCGGTTTCGAGTGCTTAGTGACGGTTTGCCAAGGTAGAGGTGAGCAAGACTGCCCTCGTTGTTGTTGGAGTCAGGCTGCATCTCCAGCACCCAGGACAGGAGGCGCAGCCCGCCTGCGCTGTGACGTGAGGCTGGCTGGACAAGGCTGACAACGCATGATCGCGCGACAGCCACCGTGCTGCAATCCGAGAAGCAGTTCTTGCTTGTGAACGCGACCCAACAGTGCAGAAAGCGCGAATTATGAACCGTCGGTTACGGTGAGAGGATGTTAAGATGTATGTGCAGCGCATGCTACTTCGTGCAAGGACACGCTGGCCACAGGGAATCTGCGCCGCTAACTATCGTCGGGCTCAGAACGCAGCGCAACGACGATAGCGTCAACAATCCAGAACATCTTAAGCAACGCGTTTGTCTAACGCCAGCAAGCAACTCTAACGCGGACAACGAAATACTATAGATGTGCATTATGCTAAAAGCCATGTTTACGCAACCTTCGCTTACCCGATCGTAACCTCAAACTAAAGCAGAGGCCAGGGCACCCTCATGCACATCCGCCACGCCTATTCTCAGACGCATACGCAAAAAGCATAGCGCTGTATTGTTTACGATAAGTTACAGCCGGCGATGAGAACGCTAATGCAGGCTCATGCATGCGAAGCGATGTCAGCGTATCCCGCTAGCTCGGGCTCGTTTCCTGAGATCTCCTGCTTCGCGCTACGGGGCTGCCGGCATGCTCGCTCTCACATCAGAACAATCTCACGAGCGTGGGAAGTCGACCTTTATACGTCGCGCTTTCCGCATAACCCACCGAGCGCTTGAGTAGTCCACGAAGTCACTGATAGACAGGGGAGTATCGCTAACGACTTGATTGACGACGGTAACGAAACAATTAATAGCACGGCTAATGTAGGAGCGATTTATGTCGGATACTAATGTGCTTAAAGAACAACGGCCTTACAACTACAGTAGACTGATAGCAGCTTTACAAGCCCGCAGATGGGAGGCGCCGAAGCTCCGAATCGCCAACCTGTCTCGCGACATAGTGTGTCTCCTCACTCAGGGACGCACCTTACTGTAGTAATTAGGTGCTTCAAGGTTGACTGGTTGATGAGTTACGTATACTTGGTGTTCACGTGAGCACTAACTACGCACGGACCTTACAACCCCTGATATGCTGCCTTTCAAATACTTGCTACCGTAATGCCGTGCTATGCTTCAAGCTTCAACGACAAAATGGAAGATACGGTTCGAATCAGTGAAGCCCGGTTTCGGGACACTTACGTGGCTGGCTTCAAAACATGGACTCGACTGTATGCTGCCGCCATCAATACTCGTGGGCTTCCTGTTTCCTGCTTCTTTACACAAGACACATTCCTTCTACAGCCGACGTTTCCGTGTAATCTCAGCCTAGAAGAGCACCATGGTCAACTCGTCGCCTCTGGATATTCGGACTGGGGCTCGTCGCCAGTACAATGTGCTCACGATATTCATCCTTTCCGGCGGCTGGTACAGTTGGACGTCACGATAAAGAATCCGGTTTCGATATCGATATCGGAGTCTACAAAGAATACCTGTTATTCTTCTTCGTGGTTCGATTCTCATAGCGACTACCTTGCCATCCTCATGTTAGCGTGGACATACATCTTATCAGCTCGCTGGGCAGAGATCATGCCAGCGCCTTGCTCTCTTGCCTACACCGACAGCCTGGCAAGACACCATAACGCGACAGAAGAGTTAGGAAACTGTCAGAATTCCCTGTTTGTAGACATCGGTCCTGCAAAACCGGATGAAGCTCGATGGTGGGCTGCCATTTTGGCACCAGGCCAGGGTTGGCAGGCAACTATGCGATCCTCCTTAGCATCACCATGGTCGATCCGCGTCGAGTCCAGCTCCGAGTTCGTAATATCCCCAGAGACGGTCGTTACAGCTTCGCAGGGTTCTGCCTCGACATTCTTGGAAGCCTGCAGCTTTCTAAACAAGTTTTGCACACGTCACAATATTGTCGATCAGAGTCATGCCGCATTAGCTGCTGTTCTGCTGTTCCCGTACATGGCAGGCGAAACACTGCATGTACTGTCTCCCGGTTTGAAGAAACACAAAAAACCACTCAATGATCCTCTAAACAATCACAAAAGTCACTCACAGCCTCACAAGATATGTGAGGGGCAACTTATCGACAGACTTCTCACGCTGAGCTGTAACATCAGGGGCATACGTCCTCTGCTTCTCAGCGTTTTTTTCGAACCCAGTATAGAATGTAACGCTGTAACACCTTGGTTACAAGGAACTCTAGCTGCTATTGAATCGGTAACTGAAAACAATCCGTCGATGCTTGGGCGCATGTGTATGGAGAGAACACCCGAGCTTGCGTGCATCTGGCTAGGGAGTACCATTGTTGGTTTGCAAAAGAAGCTTCTGCAGGACGCCAAGTATGGACAGATACCGTTGGATCTTCACTCAGCTGTGTGGTCAGGGACAGTCCAGTCGTTCATACAGCAGCCTGTATCCAGGCCTCTTGTGGTTGATGGGTATGTGAAGCGTGCAGACGAGTG